AATGCCATTCAAGCTAATCAGAAACAAGTATTCAACAATGCCATGGTATAATTAAGTGATAATGCCCGAGAAGCCTGTATTTGGAGGATATATTGGCACGGGTGTTGTTAGGCACGAGACGAAGTGGAGGCCGGCAAACTGTGCCAATATATCCTCCAAACACCGGCTTCGAAGGGATTATCATTTTTATACAATGGGTTACCAACATATTCAAATAATGGTTTACATATTCTCGTTAAAAACTTTATTTTACATACTATTTCATCCTTCCACAAGATATAGCCCCGACACAAATCTAGGGTTGCTACCCAAGCCGGCTGGTCGTTCGTTCTATCAGTTCGGTTGCTAGAGACGCGACCCAATCGTTTGTTCTAAATGTTTCATTGCCATACTAGCTGGCAACGTTCATATCCCTTGCTTGCTAGCTAGCCAACTACGGCTAACTTACAGTCATGTCAAAAAGTGCAGCCAGAATAACAGCAAAGTAGCTGCATTTGTTTAAGCTGTTTTCTAGTTAAATTTATTTGGATACATCCATAACAATGAGCTAATGAGGCGATTTCGCCTGGCACAGAAAATGTGCTCACTCGTCAGGACACTGTTGTTCAGAGGAGCTAGCCAACAACACAGCTAACACAATCCTTTAAAATTTATGCTGGAAAGACTGCAAACTAGCGGCACTTCGTTTCATTTTACCTTTCTTCAGTTGACATTTCTTTGTATATATCCATACAAATTATGCCAGCTGATTCATGATTTCGACTGGCTGAGAAACGCTGCCTGTCTGTCTCGTCCCGACTCCCGACACGTTCATTACTATGGGACAGCTGGAGATCGAATTTGAATATTGAAACAATATTGCAAATGTCGGAGAGACAGATAGCAAGGTTTATACAAATCTCTGCTGTTGAAAACGAAATGTTAGTCTAAAAGAAATGGGAGAGAATGCCTAGATGCTTTTTACATTTTAGTCATTTAGCAGATGCTCTTATCCAGAGCGACTTACAGTTAGTGAGTGCATACATTTTTATAGTGGAGATCAAGTTTATAAAGTGCCTGGCTGGGCTGATGAGACAGTGGATTGCGCAGTCAGATGTAACAGAGTAAATAGGCATTTTAACGTCATAGATGTAGCCGGTGGTAACTTGTGGAATAGACACCGGCTGGAATGCGGTTTTAACCAATCAGCATTCAGGATTAGACCCAGCTGTTGTATAATTAAACAATAGGCACGACGCAACGAGGAGGCCATATACCACAAACCCCCGAGGTGCCTTATTGCTATTGTAAACTGGTTACCAACGCAATTACAAGAGTAAAAATAAATGTTTTGTCATACCCGTGGTATATGGTCTGTTATAAACTGGGTAGTTCGAGCCCTGAATGCTGATTGGCTGACAGCCGTGGCATATCAGTATACCACGGGTATGACAAAACATTTATTTTTACTGCTCTAATTACATTGGTAACCAGTTTAAAATAGCAATAAGGCACCTCAGGGGTTTGTGGTATATGGCGCAACGCTGTATCCAGCGTTGCGTCGTGCAGAAGAACAACCCTTAGCCGCGGTATATTGGCCATATACCACACCCCCTCATGCTTTATTGCTTAAATATACCACGGCTTTCAGCCAATCAGCATTCAGGGCTCGAACCACCCAGTTTATAATTTGTAATAATAATGAAATTAATGTTGTCTTAACATACATCCTTCAAATAAACCATTAAATAATTATTTATTTATCAGGTTAGATATTTTTTTTACTGAAAGCCGGAACTGTTTAATGATCATGAATTAAGCTTGTTAAAACGCTCAGAAAAGGGTTATGATATGATGACTGATATATGACTGCGATTTTGTTTCACAAGTGCAGCTAACCCTCGTGTTGTCCTCCCAAATGCCTTACGCCTTTTGTCCTCTGGGGTCAAAAATGACCCCGCCTGGTTTGACTGTTTATAAAGCATACAGTATACATTTTCAATCAATTCTGTGTTACATCTTTAGTCTTACTTCTGTTCAACCCATTACTATAATTTTTTTCATTTGTTTTGGAATTTAGAGCCAATAAACCTTGTTTACATAAAAGTATACCCTGTTTTTAAGTAAAAATACAATGAAACTATGAATTATTTTGACCTATTATTATTTTGACTATTTGACTTATCACTGAGTGGTATTTGTAAAAGTTTAGTGAGGATGCTGTTTTTGAATCATTTTATTTTTATTAATGACAGCCCATAATCACACCTTTTGTCCTCTGGGGTCAAAAATGACCCCGCCTGGTTTGACTGTTTATAAAGCATACAGTATACATTTACAATCACTTCTCTGTTTCAACTTTTCAGTCAACTTTATTCCAACTTATTACCTGACATATAACACATGTTATAATTCATTTCCAAAACATTTTCAACTTCAAAACCTAACTTTTTAGTCTGAATGAGCCCTCAGTTGCATGCGAGGCAGGTAGTAATGGCGTGATCTTTGCAGATGTATGCATTGCATTTTTGGCACATTTTGGATGTTTTGAAATCACTTCGGCGAGGGCAGAATTTGCACCTACTCCTTTTGGGTAATGGGCGAGGAAGGGCTGGTCGGCATGAGGGAACTGGGAGAGGGGGAGCTGCTGCAGAGGTAGAGCTGGAGGAGACCTGCTGGATCTCCTTAACCAATTTGACAGCGGCTGACGTGCGGGGAATAACCTTGCGTCGCTGGATGTGAGGTATCACCAGTTGTCGCCCAAGCTCCTCCATGAAGAGCCTTCTCTTGTTGTACTTTCCCTGATTCCAGGCTGGCTTGATTTCAGACCATAGGACAAAAGAGTTGTATGCAGACACGTCGAGAATGTTGTAGAAGACAACGAGTGGCCAACGGGCTGTCATTCTTTTGCACGTGTACACACTGGTAACTTTGTCAAGGTTATCAACACCACCTTTGTTGTGATTGTAATCTTCAATGATTTTGGGCCTTTTGTCATCCCTGTTGCTCACAGCAGCATCCCGATGCAGAGTGCTCATCAGAAGAACATTTTTCTGTTTTTTGGGGTGATATGACACTAGAGCATGGGTCTCGGTGAAGGCAAACTTCGATGAGAACCGTGCCCGGTCCTTTTTTGACACCAGAGCAGGGGGAAGCTCAGGCTTATTCCTCCGTACTGTTCCCACCATGTACAGCTTTCTTTTCAGCAGCTGCAAGCCAAGAGCATGTGAAGTAAAAAAGTTGTCACAGGTGATTGTTTTCCCCCGGAGACCTTCTGTCATGTCAAGGACAACTCTCATGCCCTGATTTTTTTCTGACTGCGCACCAGCCGGTTTGCCAGTGTATACCTGCATGTTCCATGCATAGCTAGACCTGGCATCGCATGCTACCCATATTTTTATCCCATATTTCCCTGGTTTACTCGGGATGTACTGTTTGAATGGACAGCGACCTCTGAAGGGGACCAGGCGCTCATCCACAGTCACATCAGTACCTGGATCGTACATCAACGGCAGGAGAGACACCCACTTGTCCCATACATCTCGAATGGGAGCAAGTTTGTCTCGTGCACGGCGATTTTCTCTTGTGGCTTTATCATCAAATCTAATCACTCTTGAGATTTTATGAAACATCTTGAGTGTCATGGTAGCACGGAAAATTGTCCTACCAGACTCGGCATGCCATAAACTAGATGTAGCTTCCTTACTAGATCGGTACATGCCAGCAAGAATCAACACACCCACATATGCCTGCAAATCCATTTGATCCATCTTTCTCCACTTGTTGCCATAAACGCGTTGCCCCTCCTTGTTTGTCATGCTCAGCACTGCGTCTTCAATAGGCTTTGGCAGAAACAGGTCAAAAGTGGACTTTATGTCATCAATCCGAGACCTTGCATATGCAGTTGGACCATGGTGGCTTGTATCTCTCTCTGCTGTCAACATGCGTCGTCGGTCACTGGGAGGGATGGAAGACCAGATCAATGTTTCATCCTTTGACTGGAAATATTCTTCCATCTCAGCTGGGTCCTCTTCCTCAGATTCTACCTCATCTGTTGATTCTTCGTCTTCATCATAATAGATGATGTCCTCCACTTCTGACACTTCTTCCATTTCAACTTCAGATTCTACCTCATCTGTTGATTCTTCATCATAATAGGTGCAGTGCTCCACTTCTGACACTTCTTCCATACCAGCTTCAGATTCTACGTCATCATCACGTTCATCCATTTCCTTATATTCATAATCATCTTCCATTTCTGCAGCAGGAGATGTGGGGGAATCTTCGGAGGAAGAATTAGCATGCTGTCTGTATGTTGGATCTATCACCTCATCATTATGTTCCTCCTCTTCTGACCCTGAACCCTCTTCATCAGTTGATTCATCCTCATTATGTGCAGCATTGTCCTCCTGGTCATTATTTTCTTTTATTTCAAAAATTATCTTGCAAGCCTCCTGTGCATTATAAAACTTCTGCCTCCTCATTGTGCTGCCTGTCTCTCTCAGACTAAAATGTGAAATGCCCAAACACCTGTGAGAAAATACTTTTTTTGTTTTGTTGTTGTCATAACCATTGCTTGACCCCACACATCAAAGAAACATGATCAAAGATGTTTTGCCAAGCAGTATGTAAACTTTGTGCTGCGGGGTCTTTTTGACCCCAGAGGACAACAGAAGTTATTACATTTAGTAAAACACCCATAATTCAATCAAATTACTTCAAATTTGTTTGAATCATAAAGAGCATAGTATTAAACAACTACCGTTATTTTCAGACCAATTGATGAATAAAAAACATATTTTGTCGGCAAAAGATTTAATTTGGGGTCAGAATGACCCCAGGACAACAGGAGGGGTAATGTAGGATCATATTATTATTATTCGTTGGCGACTGTAACCAAAATAGTAATAAAAATAGGTGCTCTAGCCTTAACGTTACGTAGTTGCAACTCATCTTCCAAAACAGTACGTGGCAGCAACTCTCGAGTATATTGAATAAAAAATTTCAACAAATCAAAAAGAAGAAGAAGACGGCGGGAGTTGTTAGCATGTTTGGCAGCTAACGTTAACTACTAGCTAGCTAGGTATGGACGTGAACCATCTCTGGAGTTAACTAACCACCGTGAGTGAGTATGGAAACACATGAAAGTAGACAACAATAGCAAGCTGACGTTAGCTATCTAGCTAATGTATCCAACATAGCACATGACGAGTAAACAGTCAAGCAAGCCAACTACGCCGATTGTCTGCGTTGAATTCAGCAAACTAGCACGGATTCTGGACACAATAACCCTTGATGTGAGATTAGCGACGTTAGCCAGCTAACAAATTGCCAGTTGTTGGATTAACAATGGAAAGTTGGAAATAACTGCTATGACAGGCACCAGCGCATGCTCATGTGTGTTAGCCAATGCTCAACAATTTCAGGCTGAAATGCTCATGTTAGCCTATAATAAAGATGGAAATACGACACTATCCATGACAACAGTAGTCATAGTAAAGCGATTTATTTTACACCAGCAACATCTTTTGCTATTTATTTACCTTGCAAATGAATACAATCTGATTTGAAGCTGTATTTGCAAAAGAGGAAAATGTTGGAAACAAGGAAGGACTCATGCCACAGTGTTGTCTTCTACACTAACGTTAGATGCTGTAACGATTATTAACTTATAAAACACGTTTCCCTCTGACAGATTCAAACATGACTGACAGGAATTTACCTGAGTGGATGTCGAAGATAGAAACTACTGAAAAAGATGCACTTAAACAGGTATTGAAGTTGAGTAAACAGTACTCACATTTATGGTCCAAGATAGTGAACAAAAAACTTGTATGGTTAGTAACCCAGAAGTAGTGCCTTGTTCCTGGTTCTTTAACATATGGTAATATCACAGGCACAGTGTGTAGACTTCACCAGTAGGACAGGTCTACTGGCCTCTAAATGCCTGCCAACAGCTGTCTGAGGTTGGCTATCAAGGTGTGGTTAATTTTCAATTCAGTGAGGCTCTCTAATTTGCTTACGTTTACCTATCCACCTGAGCTGTGCAGGGTCATATGCAAATAAAACCATTGCACTGTTTCTCTCAACCCATTTCAATATTCAGTTGTATTAGTGCATGTGATATTTTCCTTTTGACCACCACTGTTAATTGATTATAGTCTGAATATTTTATCAATACTGTCTGAGTTTAATTCAACCGGTTTAATAATACACTATGTGTTGCAGTATAGAGGTCTATGAGACGAGTCCTGGATCATGCTGTCGCTCTTCTAACATTTGCATAGGTGATGTATGTACTGGAAATGTAAATTTCTGTACAAGGAGCAAGAATACATGTGCACAATGATGGACAATAGTGAATGGCCTTTTATTTGCATATTTCCTTCGACACAGAGTAAACCCAATATGCCCAGTTCTGTGGAAAAACACAAGGCTGATAATAAAATGTTCTCTCCCATGTGCAGAAAATGGCTGGTAATATAGTCTCTCTGTGGGGGTAATAAGTAAGACCATTTTTTTTCTCAACAGGTTCAAACAGGACTCTATAAAAGAAATGTCATAGAAGATGACCTTCATTATCTAGAGTTCACTGGCACAGTCATATTCAGCCAGGAGAGAAATGACTGCTCGTTTCTGTCTGAGGAGTTAAGGTAATCAAGACTATCACCAGTCTGAGTCTAATAGTACATTCAGTGTACATGTAATAAAACAGAGATTGTGCAGTCAATCAAGTCAGTTGTACAGTGGTAAGCAGGCCTAGCATGTGGAGTCATGGGTTAAGCGTGCTGTGGCTTTATTCACCACTTTGAGTAGTCGCTTACCTGTTTCCTAAGAACGCATTACGTCGCTGAAGGCATATCTATAATCTGGAACTCGCTGTCGGTTCGTCTGGATTGTAAAACGTGTTCACCGCTGTAAAATAAATGTCTGAATCAAAATTTTGGGGCAAATAACATCGCAAAGGTGTACCAACCACATTGTATGTTAATTATAGTTGGACTAATTAAGTTTACTTGGATTTTGCACCACATTTACACCTCAATCCCTCTCTTGTTTTTTTCCGTAGGTCTAGCCTTTCACCTGGCTCTGCTGTGGGGTTTGACATAGAATGGCCTCCTTCCTTCACCAAAGGCCAGAAGAAGAAAGTTGCCTTGGTCCAGCTGTGTGCTTCTGAGGAGAAGTGTTACCTTTTTCACCTCTCCTCCATGTCAAGTAAAGTTCACAGGGGAAATGTCTCTGACATTGACTTATTGTATGAATAATTTTCTGCTTATAATTTCTATTATGTTGTTGCTGCCTATACAGTGAGGGGAAAAAAGTATTTGATCCCCTGCTGATTTTGTACGTTTGCCCACTGACAAAGAAATGATCACTCTATAATTTTAATGGTAGGTTTATTTGAACAGTGAGAGACAGAATAACAACAAAAAAATCAAGAAAAACGCATGTCAAAAAATGTATGAATTGATTTGCATTTTAATGAGGGAAATTAGTATTTGACCCCCCCTCAATCAGAAAGATTTCTGGCTACCAGGTGTCTTTTATACAGGTAACGAGCTGAGATTAGGAGCGCACTCTTAAAGGGAGTGCTCCTAATCTCAGTTTGTTACCTGTATAAAAGACACCTGTCCACAGAAGCAATCAATCAATCAGATTCCAAACTCTCCACCATGGCCATGACCAAAGAGCTCTCCAAGGATGTCAGGGACAAGATTGTAGACCTACACAAGGCTGGAATGGGCTACAAGACAATCGCCAAGCAGCTTGGTGAGAAGGTGACAACAGTTGGTGCGATTATTCGCAAATGGAAGAAACACAAAATAAACTGTCAATCACCCTCGGCCTGGGGCTCCATGCAAGATCTCACCTCGTGGAGTTGCAATGATCATGAGAACGGTGAGGAATCTGCCCAGAACTACACGGGAGGATCTTGTCAATGATCTCAAGGCAGCTGGGACCATAGTCACCAAGAAAACAATTGGTAACACACTATGCCATGAAGGACTGAAATCCTGCAGCGCCCGCAAGGTCCCCCTGCTCAAGAAAGCACATATACATGCCCGTCTGAAGTTTGCCAATGAACATCTGAATAATTCAGAGGAGAACTGGGTGAAAGTGTTGTGGTCAGATGAGACCAAAATGGAGCTCTTTGGCATCAACTCAACTCGCCGTGTTTGGAGGAGGAGGAATGCTGCCTATGACCCCAAGAACACCATCCCCACCGTCAAACATGGAGGTGGAAACATTATGCTTTGGGGGTATTTTTCTGCTAAGGGGACAGGACAACTTCACCACATCAAAGGGATGATGGACAGGGCCATGTATCGTCAAATCTTGGGTGAGAACCTCCTTCCCTCAGCCAGGGCATTGAAAATGGGTCGTGGATGGGTATTCCAGCATGACAATGACCCAAAACACACGGCCAAGGCAACAAAGGAGTGGCTCAAGAAGAAGCACATTAAGGTCCTGGAGTGGCCTAGCTAGTCTCCAGACCTTAATCCCATAGAAAATCTGTGGAGGGAGCTGAAGGTTCGAGTTGCCAAACGTCAGCCTCGAAACCTTAATGACTTGGAGAAGATCTGCAAAGAGGAGTGGGACAAAATCCCTCCTGAGATGTGTGCAAACCTGGTGGCCACTACATGAAACGTCTGACCTCTGTGATTGCCAACAAGGGTTTTGCCACTAAGTACTAAGTCATGTTTTGCAGAGGGGTCAAATACTTATTTTTCTCATTAAAATGCAAATCAATTTATAACATTTTTGACATGCGTTTTTCTGGATTTTTTTGTTGTTATTCTGTTCTCACTGTTCAAATAAACCTACCATTAAAATTATAGACTGATCATGTCTTTGTCAGTGAGCAAACGTACAAAATCAGCAGGGGATCAAATACTTTTTTCCCTCACTGTAGTTTATCTGTATTATACCTGTTCTAACACATTTAGACCTGTTCTGCAATGGTTTTCTGTATAGCATATCTCTGACTTCTTGCAGGATTTCCAACTGGCTTGAAGATATTTTTGGAGGATGAGAGAATCCGAAAAGTTGGCGTGGGCATCGAAGGAGACATGTGGAAGCTACTCTCGGACTTTGATGTCAAACTGAAGAATTTCGTGGAGCTTGGAGATTTGGCTAATAAAAGAGTAAGAATTGAATCACAGAATTGTACCCTCATTTTACAGCCATTACACAACTACCATTACACAACTACCATTACACAAATACCAATGTGTTTACTCATGGGCCAATGTATCAAACGCTTCCACTTGTTGATGTGTAACCATATGCTCAAGTCCCAAAAAAGATGTCCAGTTAAAAAGGTATCGTTCCAACTACTGCAAAAATACCGGCCTCCTCGAATATGTCACCCAAAACGCATCTGCTAACATGCTATGAGGAATAGCAGAAGGACTGTTTGATTTCTATAATGCTACATACATTATTATTTCCTCACTGACTAGAATTCCCTGTGATTTCCAGCTGCGATGCGGTGAGAGGTGGAGTCTAGATGGGCTCGTCAAGCACCTGTTCAAGAAGAGGCTCTTCAAACAGAAGAATGTGCGCTGTAGCAATTGGGATGACTTTGAACTCTCCCAGGAGCAGAAAAGATACGCGGCCACAGATGCTTATGTGAGTGGGAAAAACCTACTGTATCATTTTGTGTCATTGGAAGAATAGAGAACTGTTTTTGTGGGAGAGATTCTGTATTTGTTTATCAGCCATGTTTTATTTTTTGTCTTGCCTAGGCTGGCCTGATCATTCATAACAAACTGAATACTATGGACCCTGGTGAGTATTGTGTATGTTTTTTGATGTGTCATACGTGCATTTTGTTTCTCAAATCCCAGTTATTTTATTGGTTTCCTTCATTAAAACCCCCCCAAGGTCGATGTCCACGCCCCCGCTGAAATCTAATTCGCGTAATAAAAAAATCCCCATAAAAATCTGTCAGTTTAAGATTGAGGCTCAATCCACCGGTTCTGCCTATGTCGCACTTCCGCATCTGTGGCGAAAGGTGACAGAGCCTGAGCGGTGTTTATCAGACCATGAGACATCCCGAAAATCGGTCTTCTCACAAAATCGTCTGTAGCGTCCGAATGGTTTGGCCTTCAAACTATTATGACCCCTTTGGAAATATGAGACTCTCACAAACTCTCCATTATGCTCTACGACCTCCACAAGTGTCAGGAGACAGCTTCTGTCTGTAGCATCCGTACCGTTTGGGCTACCTCTCTGTCCAAAGGCGAGACTCTCACGAACATGTACATGTCGGTTGTTTTGCCGTAGGACGTCAACAGGCCTCAAAACACTCGTCTGAAGGTCCCCCGGTACCAGTTGAAAAAATGAATGGAAGTACAGTGCATTCGGAAAGTATTCAGACCCCTTGACTTTTTCCACATTTTGTTATGTTACAGCCTTATTCTAAAATTGATTAAATAAAAATTTCCCTCATCAATCTACACACAATACCCCATAATGACAAAGCGAAAACAGGTTTTTTAGACATTTTTGCGAATGTATAAAAAAAAAAAAAAACATAACTTAAGTACCATAAGTATTCAGGCCCTTTGCTATGAGACTCGAAATTGAGCTCAGGTGCATCCTGTTTCCATTGATCATCTTTGAGATGTTTCTACAACTTGATTGGAGTCCACCTGTGGTAAATTCAATTGATTGGACATGATTTGGAAAGGCGCACACCTGTCTATATAAGGTCCCACAGTTGACAGTGCATGTCAGAGCAAAAACCAAGCCATGAGGTCGAAGGAATTGTCCGTAGAGCTCCGAGACAGGATTGTGTCGAGGCACAGATCTGGGGAAGGGTACCAAAAAATGTCTGCAGCATTGAAGGTCCCCAAGAACTCAGTGGCCTTCCATCATTCTTAAATGGAATAAGTTTGGAACCACCAAGACTCCCTAGAGCTGGCCGCCTGGCCAAACTGAGCAATCAGGGCAGAAGGGCCTTGGTCAGAGTTCCTCTGTAGAGATGGGAGAACCTTCTAGAAGGACAACCATCTCTGCAGCACTCCACCAATCAGGCCTTTATGGTAGAGTGGCCAGACGGAAGCCGCTCCTCAGTAAAAGGCACATGACAGCCCACTTGGAGTTGCCAAAAGGCACCTAAAGGACTCTCAGACCATAAGAAGTCTGATGAAACCAAGATTGAACTCTTTGGCCTGAATGCCAAGCGTCACGTCTGGAGGAAACCTGGCACCATTCCCTACGGTGAAGCATGGTGGTGGCAGCATCATGCTGTGGGGATGTTTTTCAGCGGCAGGGAGAGTAGTCAGGATCGAGGGGAAAGAGTGTTGGAAGTTGTTTAGTGGACTATGAGGTAAAACTGAGTTAATCATCAACATATAGTTAACATTCTTTGTGGCTAACTGAATTGGGTCATTTCACTGTGTGTGTGGGTAAATGAGGGAATCTGACTTAGGGTCAGATTGCTCGCTTTTACTTAAATCCATGGCTGTCTTATCTTATCAGGGACTGAAACTAGCTTGTGGCCTTTTTCTCTCTCCTCACACAAAGTGATAAAGAACAGAGTTTAACCTAACCATGAGTGTTTTTGCAAGATAAGGGATTGATTGATTGAGTGTGAACTGAATGAAAGTCGAATGTAGCCGCCACCATAGACAAAGGGAGTGGGCGGAGCAATAAAAGAGCGGGAAACTGAGGAGGGAGGGATTTAAAGCTATGGTGTGTGGAGGACACTATATAAGATGGAGGGAGAGAAGAAGAGGGGGCGAATCTGCAGATTGGCCTGGCTTTGTTGACATTATAATAAAGTCATTCTCAATCCCACAAACACTCTGGAAGGACTGATTTGTAATAAAGTATAGTGGTTATTTTCCACAACAAGAGTAACGGAGCACCATCCCTACGGTGAAGACTGGTGGTGGCAGCATCATGCTGTGGGGATGTTTTCCAGCAGCAGTGACTGAGAGACTAGTAAGGATCGAGGGAAAAATGAACGGAGCAAAGTACAGAGAGATCCATGATGAAAACCTGCTCCAGAGCGCTCAGGACCTCAGACTGGGGCGAAGGTTCACCTTCCAACAGTACAACGACCCTAAGCACACAGCCAAGACAACGCAGGAGTGGCTTCGGGACAAGTCTCTGTATGTCCTTGAGTGGCCCAGCCAGAGCCCGGACTTGAACCCGATCTAACATCTTTGCCGAGACCTGAAAATAGCTGTGCAGTGACACTCCCCATCCAACCTGACAGAGCTTGAGAGAATCTGCAGAAATTAATGGGAGAAACTCCCCAAATACAGGTGTGCCAAGCTTGTAGTGTCTTACCCAAGAAGACTCAAGGCTGTAATTGCTGCCAAAGGTGCTTCAACAAAGTACTGAGTAAAGAGTTTGAATACTTATGTAAATGTGATATTTAAGTTTTTTTATTTTTATAAATTTGCTAAAATTTCTAAACCTATTTTTGCTTAATGAGGGGAAAAAAACAATTCAATCAATTTCATAATAAGGCTGTAACGTAACAACATTTTGAAAAAGTCAAAGAGTCTGAATACTTTACTAATGCACTGTATATATGGAGACTGTTTTAATGCCATCAATATGGGGTTAAATACATGTGAAATTAAAAAATTAAAAATCCTGATCTGTGACCGACCAGCTCGATATGGTCTTATGTAGCAACATTTGAAATGGTGTTTTTTACATTGGATAAAAGCAGAGACTCAGAGCTAGAAAATTGTATATCATACACTACAGTTGAGGAATAATCGGAAAGTAATTCTGAATGTTTTGGTACACCTACTGGAGAGCTCTTTGTCTACACCAATTCCGCATCGTTCACACCCTCTTAAGCCTTAGCCCCACCCATCTCTTTAAGGATTCCCATGTGAGGCCATGTGCTAAACAGTGAGTACGGTAGTGTACAACCAAAGATTAAGACTAAAGGCTGGTTTATACTACTTCTATCGACATGTCTGGATACAGTTGTTGCAGTGACATCATGAGCATTCTATTGTCGTCCAACATCAAACTTGTCGTTATGAAAAAGTATAAACACAAAAACGACAGGCTGCATGACATCAGCAGCCTGGTGGTCCAAAATAGCATAACTGGTGTATTTTAACACCAATAAACCCATCCTTTTAAAAATGAATTTAGTATATGTCAATCTAGCAAACCAGGCAACTAAAAGCAACTTACTAAACAATGTTTTGGTTAGTTTCTAGCTTGTTAGCTAGCTAGCTAATGTTAAATTAGCTGGCTAGCCAGTTCAAATAATGACCATCATATATAGCTGACAACGTCTTAACTTTAGCTAATTCCTATTCATTATTACAGGAAAATAAACGTACAACAAGATCATTATTTACAAGTTAATGGCGAGCTAATTACAGAAAATAGTTTACGATTGTGAGTGTGACAAAATAAAAGCAGGGCATTCTACCGGAGAATTTTAGAACGGACACTTTCTCGTTGGCCTAACATTATATCCTAATTTGACTTTGGTGCAGGTCATGTTGTTCTTCACATTACCGTCTCTGGTAAACACACACTATATTAAATAACCTCAACGTTTATTTGTCACATGCACAGGCTACATAAAGTGTAAACAGTACACTGAAAGTCTTACTTGCATAGTGGAGTCTCTCTTTTGTTTAGGCATGTAGCTAACTAAACAATTAACCATAATCCCAACTCGTAACGTTACTACCCTGCATTAATCTACAGGTAGCTAAAGCTAACAAACTAGCTAGGTTCAATGTTAGCTAGCTAGCTAACATTGGGCTATAACTAGCAATGCAAATGGCTCTGAGATACGAATATTATTACTACAGAGATCATACATGTAACGTTAGCTAGCCAGCCAGCTAACGTTAGCTAGCTAGCTAACAGTACGCCTTAACTTACAATGAAAATGAATATCTGGAAATGTAGCAAGACTCTCTTACCCGTGTCCAATTTGTAAGTCGCTCTGGATAAGAGCATCTGCTAAATGATGTAAATGTACATGGATGAACGCTTCTCCCTCTCTGTCACGGATGCAATGGTTGCCCATAGTTTGAAGATATAATCCGGAGACTGGTGTTTTGTACAACAGCCTTCTCTTTTCGACTCCCTCCACATTTGCAATCAAACACCTGAATTTTGTCCATCTCCTTAGCTATCATACTCTGCTTCCACCGGGCATTCCACTGATTTCAAAACTCGGTCCTCCAGAAATTGGAGTGCCTTAGCAACACTTGTGCAGTTCTTCGTGATATCTTTCAAAAAATATGCTTTGGAAAGGATTACCTACACATACTAAGCAGCTCATGTTCTAGCGTGCTACATGGCAGACCAATCCAAACTCATCTCTCGGCATGTCCAGCCCATCCATTATCTCAGCCAGTCATGGCTAGCTGGAAGGTTCCTGTCTTTTTCCGTGGCTAAACCAACTAGGCTAATAATTTAACAATTCTATTCGTATTTACAGATGGCATACAAGTTTGTTATTAAGGCACATGAAAGCTCACACGTTCAAATGCCTCTCCTGTGAAGTAGTGACGCGCAACATATGCCTAGTTTCCTGAAATGAGTCACATCTTTCTTATCTCTCAGATATAGGAGAGACACTTCAGAACAAACTTCCTTTTGATTTTTGGGGGGGACTGTATGTTGTTCCATGTAGTGAATAAGCTAATAGCAGTAAGGCCTAAAATTATTTATCAAATAATAATTTGATAGCTAAAAGAAATCCCCCCCCACCCCGCTTAGACTCTGATGGGTTAATAGTGGAATCTTTAAACAAAATATGTCTCTTTGTGCTCTAATACAGGAGTGAATTCTCGGTCTGGCCTTAAGGACAAGCTGTCTCAAATGGCCAATGAAATTGAGGAATTAGCTGGCAGCATCCCAGAAGAAGTCAATGACATCCAGAGGTCCAGTATACAGACGTTACTATTCCAACATCAAGATTGTTCTTCACTCATTTGTCTGATTCATAAGTACAGTACAGACGAGCTGTGTTCGAATACCCATACTAACATACTGTATGCTACATACTTAATGAGTATATACTACATACTATATACTATTAGTTCATTTTAGTATACTGTAAACGAGCGGTATCGTTTCAGTTGTGCGTGGTAGAGCTTCGCCTGTCTACCGGAAGTTGATGCTGTTGCTATGCAATCTCTTGCTAGCTTGTTAGCATAATAAATTACTAGCTAAACGTTTTACGATTTCGGGTGTGTTCGTAAATTCAATCTGGAGTGCCAGACTGCGCTCTGGGCGTTCGTAAATCCAGAGCGTTTCGCTCTCGGAGTGTTCAGCACGCACACTGGACGCTCTGGCGGAGGAGTAGGGTTGATCCGAGTGTTCAACTGCAGTCAAGCACCCAAGCTAACTGGCTAACGTTGGCTAGCTACTTCCAGACACAAATGAGAGAACCCCTCACTCTGACCATTGTACTCGCGCTAGCAGAGCTGGTTATCCAGAGCGTTGGTGACTGTAACTGTGCTGCTGGCAACAATTTTAATTATGCTTTTTTTGCAGACGTTTACTGACACCGGCCATATTCAACGGGTGTTGAGCGTTCGTAAATTCATCAGTTATTCTGCGCTAGAGTGCTCTGAAATCGGAGTAGATAGCCAGAATTAACAATGTCTATTGAAACGCACAACGACTATACCTCTTAGCTAAGAATGATGTGAATAATCAAGTCAATAAACGTTGGGTAGTTAGTTAGATAGCAGATAGTTAATATGCTGCCTGGCAAGTTTGATGTATTGGTAGCCAACTAACGTCAGGTACGTTAACTAGCTGACATACCGGTACATACTGCTGTAATGCTATGCGGTTCGTAAGGATAGCGTTGCTAACAAATTTTCAGCCAACATAATGTGTAACGTTACTTATTTGAAAAGTCATTACTTTATTACATTGCTCAACATTTCCTTAACATTTGTCATAATTAATAAAAGCAATGAATTTGTATGCGCTTTCGTCTGACTTTGGCTGCATATTTTCCGCCATTTTCTTCAAATCTGAAAATGTTGTGAAGCCACGCCCATTTTCAGAAGAATTGCATTATGGGCCCTAAAATCACAGAAATAGTGTCCACTGCATGTATACTTTGTATTTTGGCCAATTTACTACGACATCCGGGAACTTTTGGCATACTAACTATATCCATACTATGACCAATAAGCATACTATATACTCAATTCACGTCACAAATAGTATGGTTAGTGCGGTTAGTATGAGTATTCGAACACAGCTAAGGTCAGAAATGTAACCAGTCTCAAATTAATTTTTGATTTTATTTTGTCATTGTAGCGTTGCAACGCTAGTGGAGGACCTGTACGTTAGCCTCACTGCTCTGAGAGATTTGCTGTCGAAGAACAACACCTCAGCTTCTACCACAGCTCCAGAACTTTTGTCTCACGACCTCCCAGAGAACAAGACCCTCAGTCCTGACAGAACAGACACAACCAATGGAACACAGTTGGATCTGGGCTCACCCGGGGAAGATGAGGACCTCAATCACTCCAACATAGATCTTTTTAAGGTTCCTGAACCCATGGAAGAGGCCAGCAAACCCACAGACGATCAAAGAGACTGCATCATGTCCCTGCATATCTCAGAGTATGAGCTTCAAATGCTGGAGAGGCAAGCCAGGCAGGAGGATCTGGAGGAGCAGTCCACTTTGGAGTTCCAGGTGAAGAGTAAATCTATTTAGCCTGATCCCAGACCTGTTTGTGCTGTAATGCCAATTCCTATGGTCATCGTCACGCCAGGCTATATCCATTTGTATTTGTGTGGAGGATTCTACATTTCATGGCATTGTTTAGGAAACAAGCTAAGGATAGAGAGTCCTTTGTTGACCGCTTCTGTTCATTTTGCATTGTGCCACCTTCATGCAAATGTCATGAAAATTTGTCGGCAGCCATGTATTGTCCAGCTGATGTGGACTAGAACAACTAATATATTTAGCAGATGCTTTTATCCAAAGCGAGTTAGTCATGTGTGCATACATTTTACGTACGGGTGGTCCTTGGAATCGAACCCACTATCCTGGCATTGCAAGTAGGGCTGTGGTGATACAAGTATCGCAATATTTTTTCCATAGCAAAAATAAAACAACAAGCAGACAACTCTTTAATCCATTCATAATCTGCTGGTTGCAAAATATTGTGTGCTATAGCTTGGAAAATACATTTGACTGGATGACAACATAATGATGTTTGTTTCCAACATTAAGGATGTTTTCCTAAAGAAGTTAAATCTGCTTAATGTTTTGTTTCCTTGCCACGATACTAACAAGTATCACGATACAGGTATCGTTCCGGCACTAGTTGCAAGCGCCATGCTCTAACAATCGAGCTACAGTAGACATTATCTTCACCAATCTAACTAGATTCTTAATGCTTTGCTCTTTTGTCTTGAAGGAGAAAAATGCACTGGATGACTCTGCAGACCTTTTGTACGAAGTGGAGAGCGACGAGGAGCTGGAGAGCAAGATGCTACAGGTAATAGTCTGGATGTCAGTGAGAACGATGGATTTCCCCTCTTACGGTACATTATCCTTACAGATGTTATACAAACCTCTCACCAGTCAGTATGCCCATTCTCAATAAGCCAGTTTGACATATTCAAGCACCTTTGAGGTGTGGATTTCTCTCATCAACCTTCTCCTTATAGCAGGCCTGGGTCAAATATGTCAAAAATGTGAATTTGTTAGTTTGATTGTTATCAAATATGTAAAAAACGTGAGTTTGTTAGCTCGATTTTTATCAAATACAGTACCAGTCAAAAGTTTGGACACAGTTACTCATTCAAGGGTTTTTCTTTATTTGTACTATTTTCTACATTGTATAATAATAGTGAAGACATCAACACTATGAAATAACACACATTGAATCATGTAGTAACCAAAAAAAGTGTTAAACAAATCAAAATATATTTTATATTTGAGATTCTTCAAATAGCCACCCTTTGCCTTGATGACAGCTTTGCACACTCTTGGCATTCTCTCAACCAGCTTCACCTGGAATGCTTTTCCGACAGTCTTGAAGGAGGTCCCACATATGCTGAGCACTTGTTGGCTGCTTTTCCTTCACTCTGTGGTCCGACTCATCCCAAACCATCTCAATTGGTTTGAGGTCGGGGGATTGTGGAGGCCAGGTCATCTGATGCAGCACTCCATCACTCTCCTTTGTGGTAAAATAGCCCTTACACAGCCTGGAGGTGTGTTGGGTCATTGTCCTGTTGAAAAACAAATGATAGTCCCACTAAGCCCAAACCAGATGGGATGGCGTATCGCTGCAGAATGCTGTGGTAGCCATGCTGGTTAAATGTGTATTGAATTCTAAATAAATGACATACAGTGTCACCAGCAAAGCACCCCCACACCATAACACCTCCTCCTCCATGCTTTACAGTGGGAAATACACATGCGGAGATCATCCGTTCACCCACACTGCGTCTCACAAAGACACGGCGGTTGGAACCAAAAATATCAAATTTGGACTTTAGACCAAAGGACACATTTCCACCGGTCTAATGTCCATTGCTCATGTTTCTTGGCCCAAGCAGGTCTCTTCTTATTGGTGTCCTTTAGTAGTGGTTTCTTTGCAGCAATTCGACCACGAAGGCTTGATTCACACAGTCCCCTCAGAACAGTTGATGTTGATGTGTCTGTGACTTGAACTCTGAAGCATTTATTTGGGCTGCAATTTCTGAGGCTGGTAACACTAATGAACTTATCTTCAGCAGCAGAGGTAACTCTGGGTCTTCCATTCCTGTGGCGGTCCTCATGAGAGCCAGGTTCATCATAGCGCTTGATGGTTTTTGTGACTGCACTTGAAATGTTCTGTATTGACTGACCTTCATGTCTTAAAGTAATGATGGACAGTCGTTTCTCTTTGCTTATTTGAGCTGTTCTTGCTGTAATATGGACTTGGTCTTTTACCAAATAGGGCTATGTTCTGTATACCCCCCCCTACCTTGTCACCACACAACGGATTGGCTCAAACACATTAAGAAGGAAAGAAATTCCACAAATTAACTTTTAACAAGGCACACCTTTTAATTGAAATGCATTCCAGGTGACTACTTCATGAAGCTGGTTGAGAGAATGCCAAGAGTGTGCAAAGCTGTCATCAAAGCAAAGGGTGGCTATTTGAAGAATCTCAAATATAAAATATATTTTGATTTGTTCAACACTTTTTTTGGTTACTACATGATTCCATATGTGTTATTTCATAGTTTTGATCTCTTCACTATTATTCTACAATGTACAATTTTTTACAAATAAAGAAAGACCCTTGAATGAGTAGGTGTGTCCAAACTTTTGACTGGTAGTGTATGTCAAAACCGTGAGTTTGTTAGCTTGATTTTTAGTTTGCCTTGTACAATTGAACCAATGGATTTATTTATGTACTGCTTTTATTTAGCTAGGTAAGTTATTGAGAACATATTTTCTTTTACAATAACGACGTGACAATAGATTAGTTCTGAAAGTACAAGCTCCAAGCTAAATCAAGTACATATTAGACTTTTAAGTATACTAAAGTATATTTGACATAAGCATTTGCTCCAGGTCTACTATTGGTTAAGAACCAGCGCCTTGTGTGATGATGTGGTTTGGATGTTTCTCACGTCAGTGTGTGGAGGAAGTGGAGAGGTTGAGTCAACCGAAGCAACCCCAACCTGAGGAAACCCCCTCTGGCCCTGGTGATGAGGAGGATGACGTAGAGGAGCTGGAGGAGGAGGAAGAAGAAGAGTTTGGTACTGATGGAGCTATTTCTTAGCTGTTTTAGGTTTCAAAGATTATTGTGGAGCAATACTAATGGACTGACTGACAAATAGGCAGCCTTAGAATCTACTGTAAGTGTAGAATGAGGATGCTCTCAGTCTACTGTGTGTCGATTGAAGTGGAGTGACGGTACGTTAATAAAAGGAGCTAATAATAGCTGACGTTTTCTGCTGTAGGCAGTGGTAATAGTGGTGAGCCTTTACAGGAATCCCATGACCCATATTGCCAGCAGATTAGTCAAATCATGCTCTACTCTGTTAAAAATCAATACCGACACAGAAACCTATTCAAAATCACATGTCGAGATAGATATAAGCAATAAGGCCCGACGTTGTGTGGTATATGGTCAATATACCATGGCTAAGGACTGTTCTTACAATATTGGCCATATACCACAAACCCCCGAGATGCCTTATTGCTATTATAAACTGGTTACCAACGTAATTAGAACAGTAAATAGTAATTTTTGGTCGTACCCATGGTATACGGTCTGATATACCACGGCTGTCAGCCAATCAGCATTCAGGGTTCGAACCGCCCAGTTTATAAATATATATTTAACATATAGTTAGATTGTATTCAGCGGAGCTGTATTCATAGAAATGCGGACAATAAAAAAGGCACTGTGATATACATTTGCCATACCGTTTCTATTTATGAATCCAATTCCCTCTAAGAGTTGGGCTCGTTGCCAACAGCAGGGCTTTAGAATAGCAGTTTAGGATTAACCTCCAGTCTCAAATGTACTCAGGCAGATGTTAACCTCCAGTCTCGTGTACTCGGGCAGATGTTAACCTCCAGTCTCGTGTACTCGGGCAGATGTTAACCTCCAGTCTCAAATGTACTCGGGCAGATGTTAACCTCCAGTCTCGTGTACTCGGGCAGATGTTAACCTCCAGTCTCGTGTACTCGGGCAGATGTTAACCTCCAGTCTCGTGTACTCAGGCAGATGTTAACCTCCAGTCTCAAATGTACTCAGGCAGATGTTAACCTCCAGTCTCGTGTACTCAGGCAGATGTGAGTGTGTTTGTGTGTCACAGGCTATTGAGTTCCTCTTTCCCTCTCTCTACATCCAGATCCATCTCTTCCAGAGCCACTCCCTGAACAAATCAAATGTCTAAAGATGTATTTTGGACATAGTCGCTTCAAGCCGTAAGTGTCCCCCCCATATGTGTCCCCCCCATATGTTCATGTCACAGCCTATCATTTGTCCTTCCTGTAATTTGTATGTGAAAGAGAAATCCCCTCTGTTTCAGAGTACAATGGAAAGTAATTCACTCTGTTCTGAAGGAGAGGCGAGATAACCTTGTTGTCATGGCAACAGGCAAGTCCCCCCTCCCCACCATGTTAAGTTAATTATGATTGACTAAGTCCTCATGGTAATATGAGCTGCCTTCTGGAAACATCCATATGGATGGTATCGTATAGTTCCGATAATAAATAGTAGTTCGTAAATGAATATTCCCCAAAGAGGTACATAGTACATCTCACAACGAGAAAAAATATTGGGCCTTCTGTCATCCTTTTGTTGTAATCTGCTGTACCGGAACTAATACTACTGCTACTGCACTGCCACCTAGTGGGTGCTATATTTATTACTCTGAAATCTCAACGCACATTATTTAATCAGACCCGTATGGCATTTTCTGGAATTTCAAGGGTACTGGACATGCATTTGTAGTTATAGATAGCAACATCTTTCATTATTGTGTGACATCAAAAGGCCGAATGAGTATAGTTAAGGAAAATGTGCTATCACTTATTCAAATATCTATTTTATGTAGTGGAACATCTTTGGTTAGTAGGTGACATAAGCAACGTGATGTACAATCAATGAGGATGTCAGCCATTGGTATTCTACTAGCTTAACTAAGTGTTTGTCCATGTCTCTCTGAAGGCTATGGGAAAAGCCTGTGCTTCCAGTTCCCCCCAGTGTACTGTGTTGGCATCAGCATAGTAATCTGTCCGCTCATCGCTCTAATGGAGGACCAAGTGCTCCAGCTCGAGTGAGTAGCAACATTTAGCACCAGGAACCTTTAAGAATACCATACCTACCAATGTCATTTTCTACTCTTAACATATTTTGATTGTCATATGTCGTTGATATAAAAAAAAATCTCATGAGTTTGATATTCAAGTGTAGATTGCTTGTTTTTCCCCATATGGTTATATATTGAAAAATATGAAAATGTCATATGTTTTGCTGGAGTAGAAGTATCTGGTAACCATTAGAGCTCAGCAATGTTGGTTTTCTTCTGAGTGAATCAATATGTCATTTTGGGTTATAGGAGACTCCTAGTCAGCCAGGGGTGCGTTCAGCAGGACATAACGTTGTGCAACGTGCAGATAGAAAAACAGCATGTAGAACAAACGCCCCTCTCTAACATGTAGAATAAGGAACCGTGTCAGCTCTATTCATGACATTTCTATCTGCAGCGTTCCACAACATTTGGCTACTTAACGATGCCCAGGTGAGATCATGGTGATGTTCCCCTGCAACAACATGGCGTTTTCTCTTTATTTTCCAGAATGTCCAACATTCCAGCTTGTTTTCTCGGCTCGGCTCAGACCAAAAATGTTTTAGCCGGCTTGAAACAGTAAGCCCCTTTTAAAAAAAGAATTTTACTAAATATTTGCCAACTGCTAAAATATTACAACTGCATTGAAGTATTTTGTTCTTAGTTCGGCCACAACATGTAGTCGTGATATGTCCCTCAAGTGATGTTTACATGCACCCTCTCCTCTGTTCTGTCACGATGTGTAATATACTAAGTTTTTCCAGTCGAGGGGTGTTGTGGCCTGAGTGCCTGTCTGTTTGTGCTGTCATGCCAGTGACGATGAGAAATGAAGTTGGCCAGAGCGAACAGATCTGGGACCATGCTACCAATGTTATAAGTCAGCTCCCAGGCCCACAGTGTATGTTGGTTTCCATTTTTGTAATTTTAGCAGAGACCAATTCCTACCTAGTTTACCAGCTGTATGGATTGTAAATTGATCAATTAAAGTGGCAATATGTAACTTCTTGGGCTACCCAAATTCACATTAGAAATGTGAGTTATAGATATATCATGCTACTTGAAAGCAAGTCTAAGAAGAGGTAGATCTGTTCTATATGCGGCATTTCTATGGTTCCCGTTCTTAAGTTTTAGTTTTTGCGTCTTTCACTTTCAGTTTTGTACACCAGCTGAAACAACAATATATTTGGTTATGGAAAATATATTTCACAGCGGTTTATATGGTACAATGATTCTCTACACTATACTATCTTATTTTGTCACATAAACTGAAATTAGGCGAACTATTAGAGTTTTAGCAACCAGGAAATGGCGGAGCGATTTCTGCATAGTGCAATTTTAAGACTAAACAACAACTAGCAGGACTGTGGAACTGGAAAGCCTGAGTGTTGCAACCCCTGCTATAACTATGTACCAACGAGGCAGAAAATAACATGACCCTATTCTGTCTTTAGGGGGCAATACAGAGTTGTGTACATGACCCCGGAATACTGCTCAGGCAATGTATCTCTACTCGAACAGCTCGATAGAAGTATAGGTGAGTGAGGTCTTCATGACTCTCTTTTTAAATAGATCTCCTTACACATTTATACAGATATACTCAATTTTCTCAAGCCTTGTCTTTTATACATTTAGCAGTGAGAATATCGCTGGTGTAGGAACTGATGGAGGTGTTTCCCAAAAACATAAAAATCATCTTTAGAACTAAGATTATCTTAAGTTCAATGGAGGAAAAATAATTTTTATACTAAAGATAATCTTTATGTTTTGGGGAAAACTCACCCCAGAATTGTTATTTATCTCTGCATTCTGCCGTGCCTGTCCTGCAGGAATCTCTTTGATAGCTGTGGATGAGGCTCATTGTATCTCTGAGTGGGGCCATGACTTCAGAGGTGCATACAGGAGTCTGGGAAACCTGAAGAGAAGTCTACCTAACGTAAGGACATTTGTCTCTCATTGCAAACATCACAGGCAGCCATCATCTTAAACAATATGTAACCAATTACGGGCAATCCTCTGCCATAATTCTTATATAGTCATGTCATAATGAGGACATCACAGATGTCGCATAACAATAATGCTATGTATCATGGACAGTTGGCAAAAGCTGATGTCCTTCATTCTTATGATACCCTTATGATGGAGGTGTCAAGTGAAAGTATTACCAAGATTGTGAACGACTGTGTTTTGTGTTCAGGTTCCCATCGACTGTGTTCTGTGTTCAGGTTCCCATCGACTGTGTTCTGTGTTCAGGTTCCCATCGACTGTGTTCTGTGTTCAGGTTCCCATCGACTGTGTTCTGTGTTCAGGTTCCCATCGACTGTATTCTGTGTTCAGGTTCCCATCGACTGTGTTCAGGTTCCCATGGACTGTGTTCTGTGTTCAGGTTCCCATGGACTGTGTTCTGTGTTCAGGTTCCCATCGACTGTGTTCTGTGTTCAGGTTCCCATGGACTGTGTTCTGTGTTCAGGTTCCCATCGACTGTATTCTGTGTTCAGGTTCCCATCGACTGTGTTCAGGTTCCCATCGACTGTGTTGTGTGTTCAGGTTCCCATCGACTGTGTTCAGGTTCCCATCGACTGTCTTCTGTGTTCAGGTTCCCATCGACTGTGTTCAGGTTCCCATCGACTGTGTTCTGTGTTCAGGTTCCCATCGACTGTCTTCTGTGTTCAGGTTCCCATCGACTGTGTTCAGGTTCCCATCGACTGTATTCTGTGTTCAGGTTCCCATCGACTGTGTTCAGGTTCCCATCGACTGTGTTGTGTGTTCAGGTTCCCATCGACTGTGTTGTGTGTTCAGGTTCCCATCGACTGTGTTCAGGTTCCCATCGACTGTCTTCTGTGTTCAGGTTCCCATCGACTGTGTTCAGGTTCACATCGACTGTGTTCAGGTTCACATCGACTGTGTTCAGGTTCACATCGACTGTGTTCTGTGTTCAGGTTCCCATTGTGGCGCTTACGGCCACTGCCAGCCCTTCCATCAGGGAGGACATAGTGAAGAGTCTGAACCTGGAGCGGCCCATCGTCACCTGCACCTCCTTTGACCGGCCCAACCTCTACCTGGACGTCAACCGCAAGTCTGGGGGCGTGTTTCAGGACATGAATGGCTTCCTGAAGAAGACCACCGGGTAGGGCTATATATTAATTGCTTATAGGTCAATATATATTTAGGTCCATATACTAAATTAAGGTTTAATAATATATTTAAGTAGACCTAGTTATATTATGTTGGTTTTTAATACAGTATATGTACTGTGTATACAGTACATTCGGAACGTATTCAGACCACTTGACTTTTTCCACATTTTGTTACGTTTCAGCCTTATTCTAAAATGGATTAAATAAATAAAAATCCTCATCAATCTATACAAAACCTTATTTACGTAAGTATTCATACCCTTTGCTATGACACTCGAAACTCAGGTACATCCTGTTCCATTGATCAACCTTGAGATGGTTCTCCAACTTGATTGGAGTCCACCTGTGGTAAATTCAATTGATTGGACATGATTTGGAAAGGCACACACCTGTCTATATAAGGTCAAACAGTTGACAGTGCATGTCAGAGCATAAACCGAGCCATGAGGTCGAAGGAATTGTCCGTAGAGCTCCGAGACAGGATTGTGTCGAGGCACAGATCTGGGGATGGGTACCAAAAAATGTCTGCAGCATTGAAGTTCCCCAAGAACACAGTGGCCTCCATCATTCTTAAATGGAAGAAGTTTGGAACCACCAAGACTCTTCCGCCTGGCCAAACTGAGCAATAGGGGGAGAAGGGCCTTGGTCAGGGAGGTGACCAAGAACCCGATGGTCACTCTGACAGAGTTTCAGAGTTCCTCTGTGGAGATGGGAGAACCTTCCAGAAGGACAACCATCTCTGCAGCACTCCACCAATCAGGCCTTTATGGTAGAGTGGCCAGACGGAAGCAACTCCTCAGTAAAAGGAACATGACAGTCCGCTTGGGGTTTGCCAAAAGGTACCTAAAGGACTCAGACCATGAGAAACAAGATTCTCTGGTCTGATGAAACCAAGATTGAACTCTTTGGCCTGAATGCCAAGCGTCACGTCTGGAGGAAACCTGGCACCATCTCTACGGTGAAGCATGGTGGTGGCAGCATCATGCTGGGGGGATGTTTTCCAGCGGCAGTGACTGGGAGACTAGTAAGGATCGAGGGAAAGATGAACGGAGCAAAGTACAGAGAGATCCTTGATGAAAACCTGCTCCAGAGCGCTCAGGACCTCAGACTGGGGCGAAGGTTCGCCTTCCAACAGGACAATGACCCTAAGCACACAGCCAAGACAATGCAGGAGTGGCTTCGGGACAAGTCTCTGAATGTCCTTGAGTGGCCCAGCCAGAGCCCGGGCTTGAACCTGATCTAACATCTCTGGAGAGACCTGAAAATAGCTGTGCAGCGACGCTCCCCATCCAACCTGACAGAGCTTGAGAGGGTCTGCAGAGAAGAATGGGAGAAACTCCCCAAATACAGCTGTGCCAAGCTTGTAGCGTCATACCCAAGAAGACTCGAGGCTGTAATCGCTGCCAAAGGTGCTTCAACAAAGTACTGAGTAAGGAGTCTGAATATGTAAATGTGATATTTGTTTAATTAAAAAAAAATTACAACTGTTTTTGCTTTGTCATTATGGGGTATTGTGTGTAGATTGATGGGGGAGGAAAAAACAATTTAATCCATTTTAGAATAAGGCTGTAATGTAACAAAATGTAGAAAAAGTCAACGGGTCTGAATACTTTCCGAATGCACTATATGCTTTTGGGAATATTGGTGAATATGGAGCCAGCTTTTATCATAATAATGATATTAATATCCATGTTTTGTTTGTATAGGAAAATATGACATCCAATGTCTTTGAGCAGATGCTGGATATAAAAATATATTCGATAGATGATAAAAAGAGACTCGGCACACTGCAGTCTGTCCTCCCACGTGGTTGGTGACAACATCTCCACCAATTAGATCAAAATGGTCATTTCTTTGTCTCATTTGCTGTCGGCTATTTCAGGGGGGATTATGAGTTTGAAGGTTCCTCCATTGTGTACTGCCCCTCGCGGAAAGAGGCTGAGCGTGTGACCTCCACTCTGACCTCGCTGGGCGTCACGTGTGGTGTGTACCACGCTGGTCTGGGCATCAAACAGAGGAGGGAGACCCAGCATCGCTTCATGAGGGATGAAATCCAGGTGTGTTTTAAATCTTTAAGAAACAAAACAAATATTTAAAATGAAATCCAGGTGGATTAGCTTTATTGCTATAATGTGTAGATATTGATAGAAGCGAAAAAAAATATGCCACATTTAGTTGAATGTGTCTCTTCTTTCCAAATATAAATTTGTTTGCGGTACTTTGCAAATTCTATACAGGCATGAAAACACATAAAAAACAACATTGTTCACCCTGGTATGCAAGCATACTTAAATGGTTTTGTTAATTGTTTTCAGTGTATCGTGGCTACAGTTGCTTTTGGAATGGGGATCAATAAAGCTGACATCAGGAAGGTCATCCATTATGGAGCTCCTAAGGAGATGGAGTCCTACTACCAGGAGATTGGACGTGCTGGGAGAGATGGACTTCCAAGTGCCTGCCACGTCCTGTGGGCACCAGCGGATCTGCAATTAAACAGGTCACTCTTTTTTGTGATGATGTTATGGGAATGTTTTTTTAATGTAAAAAAATATATATCTTTCATAGATGGTAGACAACAAGACACAGTGATATATATATATATATATATTAATAATAATAATAATAATACTGTCTGTCTTGGCATGAAGCCTTCAGAGAGTTCAGATTAGTGAAACTCAGACCTGAACTGAGTCTTTTGTTGTTCTGTACAGGTTTCTCATCAACCAGGTAGCAAACAACAGATTCCGGGGCTACAAGCTCAAAATGATGGGCAAAATGGACCTGTATCTCAACTCATCCAAGTGCAGAAGGAAGTAAGTCTTGTTCCTGTTCAGTCTTGTTCCTGTTCAGTCTTGTTCCATAGTGAGGAATGATAAATGTTTTAGGTACATATAAGTATATTGTGTCAATAGCTACCTATATTCAACGTATTGCTTCACATTTCATTTCTCTTTAGGCTGATCCTCTCCCACTTTGAAGACAAACAGCTTCGAAAGGTGACCTCAGGCATCATGGGAACTGACCAGTGCTGTGACAACTGCCGCTCTGGGTGGGTGTTTTGCCAGCAATTTTCTATTCTGTTCTATTCTATTCTATGTACAAAAATTAATGTTATTTTAGCTCAACATAACATGCACTGTTTACTGGGTTCTATTTCAACCATCTTTGGATTCTATTAGATCACCCATTGGGAATGTGTGTGTGTTTTCAGGGCGGTGAACAGAGTCAGTGTAAATGACACAGTGGACGGTGGGCGTCAGGACTACGGTGTGTTGGCATTCCAGCTGATTGGAGCCGTCAGTGCTATGGGGGAGAGATTTGGCTCCACAGCCCCCATCCTGTTCCTCCGTGGATCTGTGAGTCTGAGAGTGTTGGGCTGGGTCATGTTCATTAGGGCATACTGGAACAAAACAGAAAAATGAAAATGAGCGTGTCTTATTGGACAAGTCCAGGTAGTCCTTCCCTGTTTCAGTTAGTTTGGTGCCTAATGAACATTACATTGACATTTTAGTCATTTAGCAGACGCTCTTATCCAGAGTGACTTACATGAGCAATTAGGGTTAAGTGCCTTGCTTAAGGGCACATCGACAGATTTTTCACCTAATCGGCTCGGGTATTAGAACCAGCGACCTTTTGGTTACTGGCACAACGCTCTTACCCACTAAGCTACCTGCCGCCCTGTTCTTCTTCTTCCAGTACTCTCAGAGGGTTCCCGAGAAGTACCGGTGCCACGCTCTGTTTGGAGTGGGGAAGAGTGTCTCTGAGGCCTGCTGGAAAGCCCTGTCACGGGAGCTGGTGAATGAGGAATACCTGAAGGAAGCCACCGGCACCAGCAAGTTCTGCACCCTCTGTAAAATCACCCCCAAGGTACGACATAACATAACATATATCACAACATAACATATCACAACATTACACTACATAACACTACACAACACAACATATCACAGCATAACATAACATATCACAACATAACATAACAGTATATTTTATTCTACTGTCTCAGGACTGTTTCTTAGACTGGAATCAGTTATTTTGGAAACCTGGTGGTAGTGTAAATGTGATGTCTTTGACTGTTTTGACAATTGTTGATTAAGCCAAAACAATGTGTTTATGGCTGACATTTATTTCTAAGCATACTGCCTGGAGAAATGAAGTGAAGGAAGCATGTTAGCTGTTCCTGAGGGGACCACTACGTTACTAGTTACTACAGTGTTATATCTATTATATGTGTCTTATTCAGGGTTCAATTCCATTTCAATATATCATTCTTATTCAAAGGGGAGGTGGTGGCTGGGCCAAGCCCTGGATGAGAAACAGAGAACCCTCCTGCTCCAGTCGAGTGACGGCGACCTCAACACCTGGTCTGCACTAAGGTATACCCTCCGTAGTACACACTACGTAGTACACACTACTACATTCTACTGCTACTTAGTGTGCACACTCATTAAAGAGAGAACACACTCATTAAAGAGAGAACACAAGTGCCTTTAAATCGGGACGGCTTTGAAAGGCTCTCATCTGGGTCGTGTTCATTAGGGCACACCGTAGCGAAACATTTTGCAAGAGAAAACCAAAATGAGTGTTTCTTATTGGACATGTTCAGATAGTATGTCCCTGTTTCACTCAGTTTCAGACCGTTTTCTTTTAATTTGTGCCTTGTGAACGCAACCCTGTTCTAGCCTGGCTTAGCTTCCAAAGTGTTAATTTGGTTATGTAATTATATTAAGTCCTATTCGCACGGGACTAGTATTACTAGAGAACGATGGTTATGTAATTATTCCTACCCCAGAATGTTCGTTATTTCAGAGGACGATTCGGACGGGATTAGTCTTTTCCAAACTGCCTGCTGTAATTTTAATTTTTTTAACCTTTATGACGGAAGCCTGGAGGTTTTAATTCTAGGTGTGAGGATATTTCAACATGTCCAGGCGATAACAGGCAACACGACAGTTATTCGAGCTTGGTTCCAAAGTTTCTAAACCATAACAAAACAATCTTTGGTATAGTGTCTCAATCAGTAGCGGTGCGTGGGTAAAATCAATGGTGAAGCCAAGCCAGGGAGAAAAAAGCCATATTACAACCTATGTGTGTGATAATTGTGTTGTTTTCTGCTCTATAACCTGTTAGTTCATACGCCACTGTTCTATATAAAGCCAAGACAACAGGCAGAATAAATTCAACCACACATGCGTTTGTTTCATCACAAAACCAGATGGCAACGTCTGTCTGAAGTCCACAAAGTATATTGCTATGTCGATTCGCACGGGACTATATTCAGAGGACCTTGGAGTTAATCGAAAAACAGTAGTTTTTTTCGGCTGGAATTATTGCTCTCCTGCTATGTAAAAATGACCCACATGGCAGATTTGGACCGGACTTAAACGACGGATGTGGTGATTTGTGCTCGTGCACATAATTACATGACCCTATCTCCGCCCCCCCCCCCCCCCCCCCAGTAAAACAAATCCTGTGCGAATAGGCCTATAGGAGCAACCAGCTGTTGCCACACATCAACAAAACAGTTTGAAAAAACATCAAAGAGATCAAAGTTAACACAACGTTGAGGTGCCAAATTGGGTAATGTCTGCTGGCATTTGGCATGAAATGTTTTAGAACACCTACTCATTCAAGGGTTTTTCTTTATTTGTACTATTTTCTACATTGTAGAATAATAGTGAAGACATCAAAACTATGAAACAAATTCTTAAAAGTTAATTTGTGGAATTTCTTTCCTTCTTAATGTGTTTGAGCCAATCAGTTGTGTTGTGACAAGATGGGGATGGGGGGGGGGGTCCTTATTATGGCAGGAACATCATTACTTTAAGACATTAAGGTCAGTCAATCCGGAACATTTCAAGAACTTTGAATGTTTCTTCAAGTGCAGTCGCAAAAAACATCAAGCGCTATGATGAAACTGGCTCTCATAAGGACCGCGACAGGAATGGAAGACCCAGAGTTACCTCTGCTGCAGTGGATAAGTTCATTAGAGTTACCAGCCTCAGAAATTGCAGCCCAAATAAATGCTTCACAGAGTTCAAGTAACAGACACATCTCAACATCAACTGTTCAGAGAAGACTGTGTGAATCAGGCCTTCATGGTTGAATTGTTGCAAAGAAACCACTATTAAAGGACACCAATAAGAAGAAGAGACTTGCTTGGGCCAAGAAACACGAGCAATGGACATTAGACCAGTGGAAATGTGTCCTTTGGTCTGGAGTCCAAATTGGAGATTGTTGGTTCCAACCGCCGTGTCTTTGTAAGACGCAGTGTTGGTGAACGGATGATCTCCGCATGTGTAGTTCCCACCGTAAAGAATGGAGGAGGAGGTGTTATGGTGTGGGGGTGCTTTGCTGGTGACACTGTATGTGATTTATTTAGGATTCAAGGCACACTTAACCAGCATGCCTACCACAGCATTCTGCAGCTTTACGCCATCCCATCTGGTTTGGGCTTAGTGGGACGATCATTTGTTTTTCAACAGGACAATGGCCCAACACACCTCCAGGCTGTGTAAGGGCTATTTGACCAAGAAGGAGAGTGATGGAGTGCTGCATCAGATGACCTGGCCTCCACAATCGCCCGACCTCAACCCAATTGAGATGGTTTGGGATGAGTCGGACCGCAGAGTGAAGGAAAAGCAGCCAACAAGTGCTCAGCATATGTGGGAACTCCTTCAAGACTGTTGAAAAAGCATTCCAGGTGAAGCTGGTTGAGAGAATGCTGAGAGTGTGCAAAGCTGTCATCAAAGCAAAGGGTGGCTATTTAAAGAATCTGCACATTGATCTGGTACAGGTACTCCCTGTATATAGCTGCACATTGATCTGGTACTGGTACTCCCTGTATATAGCTGCACATTGATCTGGTACAGGTACTCCCTGTATATAGCTGCACATTGATCTGGTACTGGTACTCCCTGTATATAGCTGCACATTGATCTGGTACTCCCTATATATAGCTGCACATTGATCTGGTACTGGTACTCCCTGTATATAGCTGCACATTGATCTGGTACTCCCTATATATAGCTGCACATTGATCTGGTACTGGTACTCCCTGTATATAGCTGCACATTGATCTGGTACAGGTACTCCCTGTATATAGCTGCACATTGATCTGGTACTGGTACTCCCTGTATATAGCTCCACATTGATCTGGTACTGGTACTCCCTGTATATAGCTGCACATTGATCTGGTACTCCCTGTATATAGCTGCACATTGATCTGGTACTGGTACTCCCTGTATATAGCTGCACATTGATCTGGTACTGGTACTCCCTGTATATAGCTCCACATTGATCTGGTACTGGTACTCCCTGTATATAGCTGCACATTGATCTGGTACAGGTACTCCCTGTATATAGCTCCACATTGATCTGGTACAGGTACTCCCTGTATATAGCTCCACATTGATCTGGTACTGGTACTCCCTGTATATAGCTGCACATTGATCTGGTACTGGTACTCCCTGTATATAGCTGCACATTGATCTGGTACTGGTACTCCCTGTATATAGCTCCATTCTTGTGTATTTTATTCCTCTTGTTACTATTTTCACGGTTAAGTCTACACCAGGTTTATTCGGCGCATTTGACAAATAAAATTAGATTATTTTATTAGATTTGAAAAAGAGCTGTAACTCTAGACGACTTTTGTATATTCTGTTCCATAATGACATGTTTATAATATTGAGTGTAATTCCCGATTTTCCAGGCTTTGGGAAAGGGAAGTTATTTGGGATTATTAGTGTGTGTGTGGTGCAGACGCCATGCCTTTGGAATGTCATCAGCTTGTCAGCATCCCTGAGAGCTATGTGGCGGAGGTTAGTGCAGCCAAAGCATTATTTTGTAACTCCCTTGTTCTTGACAAGGCCTCCATATTCTTCCCTGGCTCCACCATCCTGCAGCTGTTTGCTTTAAATGAGTGTGAAATGGTGCAAATCGCCAACGTGATATGGCTCCCGGACGTATCAACGTGTCGGCTTTGATATCTTCTTCCTCTCAGTTTCAAAGCTCTCACTCGCTCACTCACTCACATGTTTTCTTTGGCTTCCAGTCAAGTTCTGCCCTTGACTTTCTTTACGTTGTACAGTTCAGTCATTCAGTAGACGCTCACTCTTAGAGCTACTTACATTGGCTGGGTTATTTTTGTTGCTGTGTTCTGTTTCATCCTAACAGAAGAGTGATCAATGATCAAATGCCTCAAAATGCAAAGCTCTATAAACATGTTGAATTTTTTAATTGAAATGTCATCTTATATCTGTCGTCTTGTACTGAATGTGCTGTGTACTCAGTGGTGAGTAGTCATTCAGGAAATGTTGTCACCCCAGTACAAAAAGCTCTGTGTGTGCATCTGATTTCAGACGAAAGCAGAACGCTGCAGCCTCCACCACTAATGCCCCTGACAGACAGTATTCGACCTCTCTGGTGAGTGTGTTATGGAGGTTTGGTACGGAAAGAATGACTAGCCTCTACCACTTCTGTTTTTGCAGATCGGATTATTTGGTCCCACTTTAAACGAAGTACAACTTATAAAGGCTTTATAAAGCATACATAAAGGCTTCATAAGCACTACATAAATGCTTCACAAATCATCTAAAAGCGTATGTCGTACTCTATAAATGGTGTGTAAAGGGTGACCAATCATTCCCACTGAAGGGTGAGCTGCCAAATGTGACATAACACACTATGTATGTATGTACACCATTTCTAAAGTATGACATGCACTTATAGATGATTTGTAAAGCGTTTATGTAGTGCTTATGACGCCTTGATGTATGCTTTTATAAAGCCTTTATAAGTTGTACTTAGTTTAAAGTGGGGACAATTTATGTTTGTAACACTTAAGTGCCAACTGAAATACTTTTTCCTGCAACATTACTATTGAAGTGCATACTATTACTATTATATACGATCAATGATCAATAAGTGTTTAATTTGTCCTGCCTCTCCACAGAACAACGGGTTAAATGTCAATTCTAGGCCAGTCAACAGCAAATCTACCCAGAGGTCGGTCATGTCATCTAGCAGGTATGAAGAGGTTGATGTCGAGAATAGAGGACATGACATTTGCCCATTTATGTGTACTTAGTTTGTTGAGGTCTAATGTCCTAATGTGAAACCTCTGAAACAACACCACAATAGGTGAATATTTCAATAAAAGTGTACTGTTTCCCAGACACCGATTTTAAGTCTTGGACTAAAAAGCCCTTTCAATGGAACTCTTCCATTTGAGAATGCTTTTTAGTTCAAGGCTTAATCTGTGTTTTGGAATCCAGCCATTAGGTTATAGGAAGATATGAATTCTGGAGTCTGATGGCTTTTCATCACATATTTTTTATGACAGGACGCCAACCAAGTTCCTGACCCAGGTGGCGGTGCCCAAACCACAGCCAGCCCCCGTCTCCGCCAGAGAGCTTGAACTGCAGGTAGAGTCAACAGAAAAAGAATCCATACTGCCTTTAAGATGCACTCTATTTGATGAAACCAGTCAATTCAATAAATCTTTATTGTCCCCAGAAGGTAATTTGATTGCAGTGACACACATCACATTTGCGCAAACACTGGCAGACAAAAGAAAGGAATACAAAAGACATAATATGGAGAACACTTACATACAGGATCATTGTTCATAATAAGTAACAAGTCCCCATCAATGTGCTGCCTCCCATATAAATATATGCTGTGAATCATGATCTCGCAGAGCCTCTCTTGTTTCAGTGTAATTCCAGATTGGGATTAATAAGAAAAGCAGCCTTCTCGTATGCTGCCTATAGCTCATTGCATTACACGTCAGCATGTGTTGATTCTTGCTGATTTTCCTGTCTTGTAAATATCTCTCATGTGTTGATTCTTGCTGATTTTCCTGTCTTGTAAATATCTCTGTCATGTGTTGATTCTTGCTGATTTTCCTGTCTTGTAAATATCTCTGTCATGTGTTGATTCTTGCTGATTTTCCTGTCTTGTAAATATCTCTGTCATTTGTTGTTCCGTAGACGGTGTTGTATGCCAAGCTGGTTGCTGAACGACAGAAACTGGCCAGTGAGAAGGACATCCCACCAGCCATACTGGCCACCAACAAGATCCTCCTGGATATGGCCAAGATTAGGTACAGTGTGTCCTTAGTTCATGGTGTCTGCTTCCCTGCATGGTGACTCACTTCGTCTTGTTCACTTTTCAGGAATCAGTAGTCATAATTAGGGTTTTTCAGGAATCGGTAGTCATAATTTGGGTTTTTTCTGACCATGTGATCTAACCAGGAAAACTCCTGGTCCTAGTGATATACATGTTTAATATGCCCACAATGTGGATGTGTTCTTTTCTAAATGTAATGTATGTTCTCAACTTCATTGTTTACAGTGTTATCTGTATTCCTGTATGTTGCTTCCTGTATGATACTCCTGCCTTATGAAATCAGAAAAGAGGTTCTGCGATAGACTAGCATCCTGTCCAGGGGGTGTACTTGTACATCAACCTGCCTCACTACAGAAACAGGAGATGGACTAGTGTCCTGTCCAGGGGGTGTACTTGTACATCAACCTGCCTCACTACAGAAACAGGAGATAGACTAGTGTCCTGTCCAGGGGGTGTACTTGTACATCAACCTGCCTCACTACAGAAACAGGAGATAGACTAGCGTCATGTCCAGGGGGTGTACTTGTACATCAACCTGCCTCACTACAGAAACAGGAGATAGACTAGTGTCCTGTCCAGGGGGTGTACTTGTACATCAACCTGCCTCACTACAGAAACAGGAGATAGACTAGTGTCCTGTCCAGGGGGTGTACTTGTACATCAACCTGCCTCACTACAGAAACAGGAGATAGACTAGTGTCCTGTCCAGGGGGTGTACTTGTACATCAACCTGCCTCACTACAGAAACAGGAGATAGACTAGTGTCCTGTCCAGGGGGTGTACTTGTACATCAACCTGCCTCACTACAGAAACAGGAGATAGACTAGTGTCCTGTCCAGGGGGTGTACTTGTACATCAACCTGCCTCACTACAGAAACAGGAGATAGACTAGTGTCCTGTCCAGGGGGTGTACTTGTACATCAACCTGCCTCACTACAGAAACAGGAGATAGACTAGTGTCCTGTCCAGGGGGTGTACTTGTACATCAACCTGACTCACACTACAGAAACAGGCTCCTGCACTATGGGCCGTTCTGGCTCGGACAAGGCTTACTTACTTACTTACTTACTTACTTACCTACATTCATTTACATTTTAGTCATTTAGCAGACGCTCTTATCCAGAGCGACTTACAGTTAGTGAGTGCATACATTATTATTATTATTATTATTATTATTATTATTATTATTATATATATATATTTATTTTATACTGGCCCCCCGTGGGAATCGAACCCACAACCCTGGCGTTGCAAACTGAGCTACATCCCTGCCGGCCATTCCCTCCCCTACCCTGGACGACGCTGGGCCAATTGTGCGCCGCCCCATGGGGTCTCCCGGTCGCGGCCGGCTACGACAGAGCCTGGATTCGAACAAGGATCTCTAGTAGCACAGCTAGCACTGCGATGCAGTGCCTTAGACCACTGTGCCCATACTTACGTACTTACTTATAAACAGTTTAATTACAGTAGTTTATTAATTGTACTTAACAATAATATTTACCTCTCAATGGAAGACATTGTGATTGTTGAAAGAAAAAGAAGGTAGCCGCAGCACAATCGCTCAGATTTACATTTGACATTTTAGTTATTTTAGCAGAGTGACATACAGGAGCAATTAGGGTTAAGTGCCTTGCTCAAGGGCACATCAACAGATTATTCACCTAGTCGGCTCGGAGATTCGAACAAGCGAACTTTCGGTTACTGGTCCAATGCTCTTGGGAGCGGTGTTTGGTCCACGGTCTGTTCTGGGAGCGGTGTCTCATCCACAGTCTGTTCTGGTGGTCATTGCAGCTTGTATTTCCTGGAAAAGTTACCCAGCGCTGTGATGGTATCCACCTGCATGGCCAGGTTCCTGGGTGGCCAGAGGTGGAAGCAGTTCCTGGTTGGGTCCTGAGCCTGTCTTCCGTTTGCGGGCTGAATGATGGCCTCCCTGGTTCTCACCTGGTGGGTGTTATTCAACCTACACTTCCAATAAGGCCTGGTCTCTTGCTGGGCCACACTGGGTGTAGGGACTGGTTCCTGGGCTGGAGTTTTAATCGTTTCCTGGGCCTCTATTCCTTGCAGTGGTCAAGTGGTGGTCATGACTGTGGTCTTGTATAGCTGAAGAGCTATATCTACCACTAAATCCATGCTATGTGTAGGGACTGGTTCATAGGCCTGGGTTTGAGTCAGTTCCAGGGTCTTTCTGGTTCTCTGGTGGTGGGTGGTCTAGCAGTGGTCAAGGACAAAATTGCCCAGGTCAGTAAAGAAGTGCTGGCCCATTGTTTGGACACCATGGGAGGCATCAGGGTGTCCTGGACAACCTCTAGAGCTGGAGGCTTGGTCTTGATGACCTCCAACAGGACAATGAAGAAAAAATATTTGTATCGTAAATCTGGAAATCATTTTTAAAAGCACTGAAATTGCAGAGCAAAACACAGCGAGAAAGTTGAATTGTGAGACTTTGTCATGTTTGTGATTATATTAGGCATTAGTTAACCCGGGGGTGGGGTTCTAATAAGCTATATGGAATTGTTTTAAGAAATTCGTACCAAGGATAAATTTGCTATTTGATTTTGAATTTTAAGATCCCTTGAAGTATAAAAAATATATATAAAACAATTATTTGATGAAACATTTTATTTGGCCTTACTGCCATTAGCCCATACAAACACATTGAATAACAGATTCACTACATGGAACAACAGATAGTCCTTACTGCTATTAGCCCATACAAACGCATTGAATAACAGATTCACATGCTGTTAACACATGACGTAAACCCAAAATAACATTATAATATTAGAGGCATCATGTGGCTATGGAGGCATGGGAAGTCCTATAAATTATAATTCATGACTTCATTGTCAATCTACTTGATTTCTCACTTGTGGAGAGATATTGTGCATAATATGCAAATTTATCCGCCATTTACGGTTCTCCCTCCCCCGATTCCCTCCACTCCCTCTTCCATAGAACCTTATAAGTGATCAACTCTGGGATAGAAAATGCGGACAAAGGGGATAGATTTAGGGGGACATGTAGATTGCAGGTAAACAAAGCTGGTGGTCAAAACAGGTCACAGCCATGCTGTCCTACCAAGCAAAAAGGCAGTAACTGCTCATTTGATCGAAAATGAGTTAGTCATTTTTGCAACATTAAATACCTGCTTAATCATGTGGACAAGTATCCTGCCTCTATTGAATTGTGTTTTGGAGAAAATGGGGGTCATGTTAGCAGTAACTGCATAAGGTTACTGTGAAACCAGGGTAAATAAAAGCCATTTTCCTCAGTTCCACGCTATGAGCAGGTACTGCCCTTTTGCTTGGGAGGGTAGCACAGGCCTCCCTGGTGCTTTGGCCAGATCTGTGTTCATACCGATATGTCATTATCATTTAACATGCTTCTGTATTAAAATAACTACTAGTGAGTAATAATCTCTTTTTTAAATGTATTAATCCTAAAATGTTACCATTGAACAATAGAAAATAGTAAACAAATTCAGTATACTGTTTGCTAATTGATGATGACCATGGTGTTTTGCAGGCCGTGCACTGTGTCCAGTCTGAAGCAGGTGGATGGTGTCTCTGAGGCAAAGTCCAGCATGCTTGCACCCCTCCTCAAAACCATAGCAAGTTTTTGTGAGCTTCACAAGCTGAAGGTAAGGCATGCCCATAATTGAGACTGGCATAGGCTATGATTCGACTATCATAAACCATAAATGAATCCTACATAATCCATGATCATAACAATTGGCGTCATTATTTCTGCTGCGTTTTCCCAGATCCTATTACCAACAGCATGGTAAACAACACATCGGCTGGTATTTGTACCGGGTGTTGTTCATCAATGCTACGTTCAACAATGTGCTGAACTCTTGTCTGTTGTCCAGGTGGACCCCTGGACTCTTGCTGCAGCCCCAGGTCCAGACAGCAGTATGGTGACGGTGACCGGGAGGCCCTCCTCTCTACCCAACAGTATTGCCATCACCTACAGACTCTTCCAGGAGGAGGGCAAGAGCATGGTTAGAGAGCCCTGTTTAGTCGTGTCTACATGAAATGGCTGTCCGGTGTTATTTATTTCACACTACCGTACCAATCAGAAGCATATTGTGCTGGCTGGGAGATTTTCTTTCCACATGATCCTTTCCCCTACGGTTTCTGCAACTATGGTGGATGTGTAACCAGGCCAGTGCAGTACGGCTCGGCTTGGTTTGGTGTAAAAAAATACATAAATATTTTCAATTTAGGGCTGTATTAAAATTTGATATACGTACACCAGCACAACTCAAACATGCATAAATCCGGACATTGAGGACAATGGAACTATTTACCCTGACGTATGAGTTAGGTACACAGACCTGACCTCACAGTTTCCACCTATTGTGTCCCTCAACTGACACCGTCCATTTTGAGCACTATAGGCATATAATGTGTGTGTTTTGTTCTTAAAGATATGTGTGTATTGTGTTCAGAGGCAGGTGTCTGATGTGCGCAGTTTACCCGTTGCTGTGTTAGAGACTCAGCTGATCCAAGCCTTCAGGGCAAACCACCCACTGGACACAGAGAGAGCTGGTCTAACAACCGCCATACGAACTACCGTCACCCACATCATCCAGTCACACCCCGTCAACTCTGGTACGGACATATCACTTCCTGGATCGCTCCAAATTAGATTAGATCTCGGAAGTCTCATCTAGGTTAAGAAAAACTCTGCTTTAAACACAGCCTGGTCCCAGATCTGTTGTCTCCTTCTATAGCCTGGTCCCAGATCTGTTTGTGCTCTTGCAAACTCCATTGCTGTCCTTGTGAAGGAGTAGAAACAGACTGACCCAGGCTACAGTAAACATAATTTACCAAGATAAACAATCTTATCAGTTGTCTTTTTTTAACCACGTCCCGACATGGTTTAGGGCCAGCAGGTTTCCCAGTGCTGATCTTGGATCAGGTTCCCCCTCTTTTTCAATATGATTTAAAAGGCGAAACCGATTCTAGATCAGTATGAATTGGGCTGCCTGTGTAAACGCAGGGCTATGGTGGCCACACTGACAAACCCTCCTCCTCTCTCCCCAGAGACTGCCCTACTGACAAACCTTCCTCCTCTCTCACCAGAGACTGCCCTACTGACAAACCCTCCTCCTCTCTCCCCAGAGACTGCCCTACTGACAAACCCTCCTCCTCTCTCCCCAGAGACTGCCCCACTGACAAACCCTCCTCCTCTCTCCCCAGAGACTGCCCCACTGACCCCTCCTCCTCCTCTCTCCCCAGAGACTGCCCCACTGACCCCTCCTCCTCCTCTCTCCCCAGAGACTGCCCCACTGACCCCTCCTCCTCCTCTCTCCCCAGAGACTGCCCCACTGACCCCTCCTCCTCCTCTCTCCCCAGAGACTGCCCCACTGACCCCTCCTCCTCTCTCCCCAGACCTCAGTGACATCAAGGCCATTCGAGCCAGAGTCCCCGACGACATCAGCACCTTCCTCATCCAGTTGACTGTGGAGTTGCTGCAGAGAGAGGGGATGCCCACAGCGCCACCTGCTGTTTCCACCAGCCTACAGCAGCCTGAGCTGACCTGGATAGAACCAAAGGTCTATAGAAGATTTATATTATATAATATCTGCCATGTATCTAGATACGTATCGAATAGTCTTGAAAGGGTAAGATGCACATCCCTACTTTTGTCCAAAGCGACTTAGTCATGCGTGCATGCATACATTCAGTGTTGGGGAAGCTACTCTGAAAATATAGTTTAGCAAACAAGCTACTAATTACTTCACACTGGAAGAAGTTAGGCTACACTAAAGCTACCGTTAATAAATATAGTTTATTTAACTAAAGTTATTTTGAAAAAGTAGTTCACCACATCCAAACTACTTCGTGAAAAAGTATCAAATCTAAATCTGAAATGTCATAGATGACAGTTTGCAAGAACAAATCACTTTGGGGTCATATGTTAACAGAATGCGTAATTTAGCCTACTAAACACAAAAACAATGTTTCAGGTGAGAATTAGGCAGCTCTGATACCGAAAAAGAAAGGAAATTCTTGTCTATTTCATCCATCTTTTATTTTAGCTAAAAGAGTAGAGTGTAGTTCCAGTAGTTAGCTACATCATTACATGGCAACAAAGTAATGAACTACTGAAAACACTACCAAGATTAGAATTGAGTTAAACTACCACCAAGCTACTAAAAACACTACCAAGATTAGAATTGAGTTAAACTACCACCAAGCTACTGAAAACACTACCAAGATTAGAATTGAGTTAAACTACCACCAAGCTACTGAGAAATGTAGTTAAATTACTAGTTGAACTATCCCCAACACTGCATACATTTTACGTATGGGTGGTCCCGGGAATCGAACCCACCGTTGCAAGCGCCATGCTCTACCAACTGAGATACAGAAGACCACATTATAATCATCATTTTTCCACTGAGCTTGGACTGTCTCTATATTCATAGCTTTTATTTTGAGCTTTTTCCCTTAATTATCTCCAGAACATCCATCAATGTGTCCCTTTTTTATTAGCATTAGTGGGCATGTGCATGTGGGTATAAACATCTCTGGAGTTAAAGGGATGGGTGTAAACGTCTCTGGAATTAAAGCGGTGGGTATAAACATCTCTGGAGGGATGAATAAGTAATGTGAGTCATGCATACGTCTGATGATCATTTACTTTTTAAATAGAATTTTGCTTTGAATCACGTAGCTACTTTGTTGAGCATGGGATATACTGTATGTATGAGAGGGGAGAAAATATTTTTTCCTCAATGCAATTATGCATTTATGTAAATTACCAAGCCTCAAAACCCCATGCATTCATGTAAATCACCATGCTTCAAACCTCTATGCATTCATGTAAATCACCATGCGTCAAACCCCCATGCATTCATGTAAATGACCATACGTCAAACCTCCATGCATTCATGTAAATCGCCATGCGTCAAACCTCCATGCATTCATGTAAATCACCATGTGTCAAACCTCCATGCATTCATGTAAATCACCATGCGTCAAACCTCCATGCATTCATGTAAATCGCCATGCGTCAAACCTCCATGCAGTCATGTAAATCGCCATGCGTCAAACCTCCATGCAGTCATGTGAATCACCATGCGTCAAACCTCCATGCATTCATGTAAATCGGCATGCGTCAAACCTCCATGCATTCATGTGAATCGCCATGCGTCAAACCTCCATGCGTTCATGTAAATCGGCATGCGTCAAACCTCCATGCATTCATGTGAATCGCCATGCGTCAAACCTCCATGCATTCATGTAAATCGGCATGCGTCAAACCTCCGTGCATTAGTGTAAATCGCCATGCGTCAAACCTCCATGCATTAGTGTAAATCGGCCAATGCGTCAAACAAAATATAATAATATGCCATTTAGCATGACGCTTTTATCCAAAGCGACTTACAGTCATGCGTGCATACATTTTTGTATATGGGTGGTCCCGGGGATCGAACCCCACTACCTTGGCGTTACAAGCGCCGTGCTCTCCACTAGCTACAGAGACCACTAACAACCTCCATGCATTCATGTAAATCACCATGCGTCAAACCTCCATGCATTCATGTAAATCACCATGCGTCAAACCTCCATGCATTCATATAAATCATTAAGCGTCAAACCTCCATTCATTCATGTAAATCATTAAGCGTCAAACCCCCATGCATTCATGTAAATCACCATGCGTCAAACCTCCATGCATTCATGTAAATCATTAAGCGTCAAACCTCCATGCATTCATGTAAATCATTAAGCGTCAAACCTCCATGCATTCATGTAAATTACCAAGCGTCAAACCTCCATGCATTCATGTAAATCACCATGTGTCAAACCTCCATGCATTCATGTAAATCTCACCAATGCGTCAAACCTCCATGCATTCATGTAAATCACCATGTGTCAAACCTCCATGCATTCATGTAAATTACCAAGCGTCAAACCTCCATGTGGTCTCCTTTTCCTCTTGTACACGACTGTATTCCCTTGTTTATTTCCCCTCCATTGGGGTTTCCATTACTGTACAACAGGTGTAAACCTCACGAGGGTCTCTCTCCCCTATACGTCAGCAGTGAGCCTACTTACTGATTTGAAATGCACTGCTTCACTGATTTGAATGTCAGGTAGTTTATCAAATCTTACCGTGCCCACTCGACCATGAATTAAAAATGAAAAGCTGAAATGTCTTGAGTCAAAAAGTATTCAACCCCTTTGTTACAGAAAGCCTAAATAAATTCAGGAGTAAATATTTGCTTCACAAGGCACATAATACGTTTCATGAACTTACTCTGTGTGCAATAATACTGTTTAACATTATTTGTTAATGACTACCTCATCTCTGTAAACATACAATTATCTGTAAGGTCCCTCAGTCGAGCAGGGAATTTCAAACACAGATTAAACCACAAAGACCAGGGGAAAAAGTTGACATTGAATATCCCTTTGAGCATGGTGAAGTAATTCATTACACTTTGGATGGTGTATCAATACACCGTCACTACAAAGATACAGGCGTCCTTCCTAACTCAGTTGCCGGAGAGGAAGGAATGGTGGCTTTAAAATAGTTCGTTTACTCTTATCACAGCCATTAAACTCTGGGGGTAGATCAACAACATTGTAGTTATTCCACAATACTAACCTAAATGACGGAGTGAAAAGAAGGAAGCCTGTACAGAATACAAATATTTCAAAACATGCATCCTGTTTTCAGTCGGGCACTAAAGTAAAAAATGCAAAAAAATGTGGGAAAGAAATGAACTTTGTCCTGAATACAAAGCCATATGTTTGGGGAAAATCCAACACAACATATCACAGAGTACCACTTTTCATATTTTAAAGTATAATGGCGGCTGCATCATGTTATGGGTATGCTTGTCATCAGCAAGGACTAGGGAGTTTTTTAAGGATAAAAAGAAACAGAATAGAGCTAAGCACAGGGAAAATCCTAGAGGAAAACCTGGTTCAGTCTGTTTTCCACCAGACACTGGGAGACAAATTCACCTTTCAGCAGGACAATAACCTAAAACACAAGGACAAATATACACTGGAGTTGCTTACCAAGACGACGTTGAATCAGCCTGAGTGGCCTAGTTGACATTTTCTTGACTTAAAATCGGCTTGAAAATCTATGGCAAGACTTGAAAATGGCTGTCTAGCAATGATCAACAACCAACTTGACAGAGCTTGAATAATTTTTTTAAGAATCATGTGAAAATATTGCCAATCAGGTGTGCAAAGCTCTTAGAGACTTACCCAGAAAGCCTCACAGCTGTAATCGCTGCCAAAGGTGATTCTAACATGTATTCACTCAGGGGTGTGAATACTTATGTAAATGAGATATTTCTGTATTTCATTTTCAATCAATTTGCAAAAGTTTCTAAAAACATGTTTTCATTTAGTAATAATGGGGGGTATTGTGTGTAGATGGGTGGGAGAACAAGTACATTTCATCCATTTTGAATTCAGGCTGTAACACAACAATGTGGAATAAGTCAAAGGGTGTGAATACTTTCTGAAGGCACCTTGCTATCCCTTGTATTATCAGATGGGGATCCTTTCATTTATGGACGCATCCGTCCTTAATGGCATTGCTTGTAACCTAATTCAGCTTCACCATGTTAGATGCAGTCAATAGTAAGGTTGCGTCCCAAATGGCACCCTATAATAGGGCACTACTTTTGACCAGAGCCCATAAATGTAGTGGCCTATATAGGGAATAGGGTGCCATTTGGGATACAGGCTTAGCATTGATCAGCAGTGAGTCATTGATAGTCATTCATTCAATATGAGATGGCACGTGCGTCGATCTTGAAATGTAAACGTCAGCAGTTGTAATGGATTTATTTAGTTTTATATTCAAAGATTGCACATGGGACAAAGCCTTGTCAACTAATGTATGCCTTTCAAATGCACGTGTCACGGTTAATCTCTGTGTGCTGGAGAACAACTCCCTCAAGGTGAAGGTATAATGACATCTCCGGCCGTAAAGTCATGCATGCACTACCGTCACTTTATCTCTCTCTCTCTCTCTCTCTCTCTTTCGCTCTCCCTCTCTCTACCCACTATCTCTCTCTCTCCCGCTACACACTCTTTCTCTCCCTCTACACTCTCTCTCTCCCTCTACACCACTCACCCTCTTCCTCATCCCCTACAACAACCGCCGCTCTCTTGGCTCTCGTTCCTCCCCATCCCCACCCCCTACATCCTTCTCTGGCCCTCCCCCTCTATCTCACTCCCCCTCTCTCCCTCTATCTCTCCCCCTCTCTCCCTCTATCGCTCTCCCCCTCTGTCCCTCTATCTCTCCCCTGCCCCCTCTATTCTCTCCCCCTCTGTCCCTCTTATCTCTCTGCCCTCTCCCCCCCCCTCTCTACGCTCTATCTCGCTACCCCTCTGTCCCTCCTACTCTCCCCCTCTGTCCCTCTATCTCTCCCCCTCTGTCCCTCTATCTCTCACCCTCTGTCCTCTATCTCTCCCCCCTCTGTCCTCTAATCTCTGCCCTTCCCTCTCGTCCCTCTCTCCCCCTCCCTTATCTCTCCCCATCTGTCCTCATATCTCTCTCCCCCTCTGTCCCTTATCTCTCCCCCTCTGTCCCTATATCTCTTCCCACTCCCTCTATCTCTATCCCCTCTGTCCCTCTATCTCTGCCCTTCTCCCCTCTCTCCATCTATCTATCTTCTCCTCCTATCTCTCTCCCCATTGTCCTCTGTCCCTTATCTCTCCCCCACTCCCTATCTCTGTCCCTCTTCTCACTCCCCTCTGTCCCTCTATCTCCCCTCTATTCTCCCCTCGTCCCTCTATCTCTCCCCTCTGTCCCTCTCCCACTCTGTCCCTTTATCTCTGACCCTCCACCCCTATCTCTCTCTATCTCTCCCCCTCTGTCCCTCTACTCTCCCCCTATCTCTCTCCCTTCCCTCTGTCCCTCTATCTCTCCCCATCTCTGTCCCTCCTCTCCCTCTCCATCTATCTCTCTCCCCTCTGTCCCCTACTCTCCCCTCTATCTCTCTACCTCTATCTCTCTCCCCCTCTGTCCCTCTATCTCTCCCCCTCTCTCCCTCTATCTCTCCCCCTCTGTCCCTCTATCTCTCCCCCTCTGTCCCTTCTATCCTCTCACCCTCTGTCCCACCTCTATCTCTCCCTCCTAATCTCTCCCCTCTGTCCCTCTATCTCTCCCCCTCTGTCCCTATTCTCTCCCTCCCCTCTGTCCCTTATTCTCTCTTCCCTCTATCTCTCCCCCATCTGTCCCTATATCTCTCTCCCCCTCTCCTTATCTCTATCCCTCTGTCCCTCTATCTCTGCCCTTCTCCCCTCTCTCCATCTATCTATCTCTCTCCCTCTATCTCTCTCCCCCTCTGTCCCTCTGTCCCTCTATCTCTCCCCCATCTCCTCTATCTCTGTCCCTCTCTCTCCCCCTATGTCCCTCTATCTCCCCCTATTTTCCCCCTCTGTCCCTTATCCCTGCACCCTCTTCCCCTCTCCCCCTCTGTCCCTTTCCTCTCCCCTCTCCCTACCTATCTCTCCCCTATCTCTCCCCCTACTGTCCCTCTATCGCTCCCCTATTCTCTCCCTCTGTCCCTATCTATCTCCCTCTATCTCTCCCCTCTGTCCCCCTATCTCTCTCCCTCTATCTCTCCCCCTCTCTCCCCCTCTCTGGCCACTCTTGTCAGTGCAGAGCCCAATCTCTCAGGCTGCTCTTGTCCCCATTAATGGGGCAGGCTTTAAAGGCCAGGCTGACATCTGGTGCCTTCCTCTCAGACTGATTACTACAGGGGACCTATTTCCTTAAAGGCTGATGCAGCACGACAAGCCCGGCCCCATGTCCCAGCCCAGCTTCATGACCCAGCCTGGCCCACTCCCAGCCCCATGTCCCAGCCCAGTTTCATGTCCCAGCCTGGCCCCACTCCCAGCCCGCGGCCCCAGCCCCATGTCCCAGCCCAGCTCCATGTCCCAGCCCAGCCCAGCTTCATGACCCAGCCTGGCCCCAGCCCCATGTCCCAGCCCAGCGCCATGTCCCAGCCCAGCTTCATGTCCCAGACTGGCCCCAGCCCCATGTCCCAGCCCAGCCCAGCTTCATGTCCCAGCCCAGCCCCATGTCCCAGCCCAGCCCCATGTCCCAGCCCAGCCCCATGTCCCAGCCCAGCCCAGCTTCATGTCCCAGCCCAGCTCCATGTCCCAGCCCAGCTTCATGACCCAGCCTGGCCCCAGCCCCATGTCCTAGCCCAGACCCACTCCCCTCTCCAGATGTGAAAGCAGCTCGGGAGGTTTTTCACACAACTGGCCCACTTCTACATGGGAGTAATCGCCCTTGTTGCTGTTGAGTCCATGTTAGTGGCTCATAGTCATATTTAACTGTCAGTTTGGGTAGGATTTCGTTGTAGGTATAAATACTAGCTCCTACTGTGTGGTCCTCTGTAGCTCAACTGGTAGAGCACGGCGCTTGTAACGCCAAGGTAGTGGGTTCGATCCCCGGGACCACCCATACACAAAAATGTATGCACGCATGACTGTAAGTCGCTTTGGATAAAAGCGTCTGCTAAATGGCATATTATTATTATTATTTATTATTTACTGGAATCCAGCTCTTAAGTCAGGATATGTGACATCATTCATTAGCACTAATTGACACTTTTGTGTGTTTCTTCCAGGACAAACCGGTGAAAAAAGCTTCCATCCACAAGCCAGTGAGGACTGAAAAAGCCCCAGCCCAGCCAGCCCCAGTCAAGCTATCCCCACCCCAACCAGATGGTTGGTCTGCAGTCCAACTCCCAGACAAGATGGAGATGAGTATGGAAGAGGATGTCCTGTTCAGGGATCTCCCAATGCCAGAGGTAATGTTCAGCTAACAAAGACAAACTGATTTAAAACTAGCCTGTACTTTTTACACCAATACACCTCTGCTGAAACCGAACTGCATTTGTGGACTAACATTGGGTGAATTGCAGCATATGACAATGTCAGTCAATGTGTCTCCCACTAAATATGGTGCATTGTCTTCTCTCTCCCTGGTAGGAAGTGGGTCCCATCCCAGAGTATGTCACTGCCCGTCCCAGCCCAGCTCCATGTCCCAGCCCAGCTTCATGTCCCAGCCCAGCTCCATGTCCCAGCCCAGCTTCATGTCCCAGACTGGCCCCAGACCCATGTCCCATCCCAGCCCAGCTTCATGACCCAGCCTGGCCCCAGCCCCATGTCCCATCCCAGCCCCATGTCCCAGCCCAGCTTCATGTCCCAGCCCAGCTCCATGTCCCAGCCCAGCTCCATGTCCCAGCCCAGCTTCATGACCCAGCCCAGCTTCATGACCCAGCCTGGCCCCAGCCCCATGTCCTAGCCCAGACCCACTCCCCTCTCCAGATGTGAAAGCAGCTCGGGAGGTTTTTCACACAACTGGCCCACTTCTACATGGGAGTAATCGCCCTCGTTGCTGTTGAGTCCATGTTAGTGGCTCATAGTCATATTTAACTGTCAGTTTGGGTAGGATTTCGTTGTAGTTATAAATACTAGCTCCTACTGGAATCCAGCTCTTAAGTCAGGATATGTGACATCATTCATTAGCACTAATTGACACTTTTTGTGTGTTTCTTCCAGGACAAACCGGTGAAAAAAGCTTCCATCCACAAGCCAGTGAGGACTGAAAAAGCCCCAGCCCAGCCAGCCCCAGTCAAGCTATCCCCACCCCAACCAGATGGTTGGTCTGCAGTCCAACTCCCAGACGAGATGGAGATGAGTATGGAAGAGGATGTCCTGTTCAGGGATCTCCCAATGCCAGAGGTAATGTTCAGCTAACAAAGACAAACTGATTTAAAACTAGCCTGTACTTTTTACACCAATACACCTCTGCTGAAACCGAACTGCATTTGTGGACTAACATTGGGTGAATTGCAGCATATGACAATGTCAGTCAATGTGTCTCCCACTAAATATGGTGCATTGTCTTCTCTCTCCCTGGTAGGAAGTGGGTCCCATCCCAGAGTATGTCACTGCCCATCAGCCTCTTACTGCAGCCGCCAAGGCTGTCCCCCAGACCAGTGCAGTGAAGCTGGCCTCCTGGAACCAGGAGCCCCTGGATGAGGACACACAGGAACTCTTCAGTGACTCCCCACCTCAGGTACAAGTCACTGATTTTCTGTTGTGTGTTTTTCTCAGCCTTGAAAAGTGGATTTCACTCAGGATATGAAACGATGTACCAGACCTATTCTTTTTGCAAAATAGACACATTTGATTCACAAATATAACAAGTGTCAATGTGTGGGGTACATGATGATATAAAAGCTATTTCTTCCATTTGAACCAAGGCAATGAATCCATATTCTTATTTTCTTAATGGATCACTTGATAAGACACTAGCTGTGAATTTGATTATCAATAAGGCGGAGGAGGGGGGATGCCCTTGGTTAAATATCTGCTTTCATCAGCATCCGGCTTCAATCAACTTAATAATTGGCTCCCAAAAATCCCTTTCCCTGCATTAAAGAAAACTACCCAGTAAGTATTTTTAAAACCCTGGGAAAACTCCACTAAGTGCAAGATGTGCAATTAACAGCTTCCAGTCTGTTCTTCCAGTGTGTGGAGCTCTCTAGATCAACGTCAGTGCGCTCGTTCAGCTGTTGATCTCTCTTCCCAGGGTGTCCACGCTAAGGTCCTCATTTCCACATATAATTGGATGGAGCTGAACTTATTAGCATAATTGGTAATACCTTCCATCAAGCTCAATTCTATCTCACCCACTCCCGTAGCTAAATGTCCTCAATAGAAAGTTAAGTAGTGTCATTGACCCACTGAAATGATCCAGTATGCATCCACTAACTGGTTGTTTGTAGTCATTCTGGTGTCCGGATGGCAGTGGGACTAGAAATACCCTGACACACTTGTAGTGATAAGATGGTCGCCACGGGTTCATCTTATTAGACCCCTGCCATCCTCCAGTTGTGGTTTTCACAGCGCAATAGAGCAGATTGTGTTTGAGCGCCGTTTAATACCGACGATTGCGTGCAACTTAAGAGATCTCCCTGATGACACGGGTGATGATATTGTGCCCTGACATGCAGGAATTCACCATAAATCCAAAACAATAACAGATCTGCGCCGGATGAGCCCACAGGAGGATGCCCACCCGCCCCAGTCAGATGAACAGACAGACCCTTGGTTAATGCAGAGTTAATTGTTATTCGCCACAAAGGGCTTTGTTTATTTGTGACGTTCTCCCGAGGTTGTGACCCTTGGCTCTCGCTAATCCCACACGGGAGGATCGATGGGAACGCGGTGTCCCCCATCTAACGAGATGAGCGCGCCCTGGCTTAGTCTGGAACTGGCTTACATTTAACCTCTGACCTGGGGTCAGCGCTCAGCGTGAGCATCTTGAACGCCCTTTGACCTCCTTTAACCCCATCAGTCCCGAGACCCCAGCAAAAATGGCCTTTTCATTTATCTGACTTTCGTTTATCTGCATGTCCAGCCCTTATATTTAGTCTCACAATGAAGTGTTTTACCCTTTTCTTTTCAGGGCAACTAGGACCACAAGTAAAACAAAACAATTTGACATAAACCGTTGCATTCATGAGTTTTATTGACAAATGTCAATAAAAAAAATAGTCTGCCAAAGCTAAAAACCTGATAAATGAATTTAAAGTGGGCTGTAAGTACAGAAATGGTTTGCTCTGTGGGAAATGAATATCCAACTAGTCAGTGACTACTGTGTGGAGAGTTTGAGACAGCAACTATGTGACCTTATTACAGTATTATATTATATGATTTCCGTTATATGAACCCCTTACCTTAATGACTCTTTTGTAGGTTGTGAGCGTCATATGGCAAAACGTGCGTATTTGTGAGAGTCTCAGCTTTTCATACATAGCTTTTAATCGTTTGTAGCTCAAACCATTCAGATTCTACAGACGTTTTTGTAAAAAGACCCGGCCCCCTTCGGGATCCGCCCTGGTCTCACAAACACAATGTTTAAAAGGGGTTAGAAGTTCAAATGGCGCCGGCTTCGCGGTGGGACTCGTTGGGTTAAGAAATATCCTCAATAATCATTCACTGTTGATGTGAATGTGTACCTGAAAGCTTTATTTGTTCCACCCTCTCCACACACTCCACTGTGCCTCCTAGTCATGGTAACCTGTGGATCAATATGTGTTTTAGAGCTCCCTCTAAATAGATCAACAGCCAGATCCGTTCTCCCCTTCACTGAGCAGCGGCAGTGAGGTCACTAAAGATTTAGCACCAACGAGATTGAGAGAGACCAAAAAAAAAAAAAACACTCTCCTCAAGGAAATTACATTTAGAGGGGTCAGATAAATTGCTTAAGAGGAATTGTGATGGATGGTAATCCGATGTTGGATAGCGCGCTTGGGTGTCTTGTATTGATGCAGCTGCACGCATGAGACTCACATAGACATGCAGTGGACTGCGGACACTCTAGGCCAAAGGAGGATCTTGGAAGTCCAGTTTAGTCGCCAGGTCCAACCGATTGTAGCAGTCTAGCCATGGAGTATTGTCTTTCGGCACATTTGGACGTTACAAATTTGTGCTGGTACATATTTCCTATACTTCATTATAACATGCACGTCAAATAGATTAAAGTCCAGATCCCATTTTGATCGTGCTGTGCGGTCAATGTCGTTTTCAAGAGATTTATTTCTGACACCAGCTTGTTCCTTTTATGTGTTTTGCTTTTCAATCACAGGACCAGGTCACTAATACGTCAGCTTTGTGTCTAGAACTCGTCATACTTCTAGTATTTATCAGAGGTGTAACAGATGGGGGATTTATTGTCTGAGGTTTGTGTGCATTCCTCAACCTTGATTTAAGCTTAAGTCATTGTGGGCTTCTAAGCATTTTTGTATCTCTGACTTGAGGAGATGGAGAGTCACTGAAGACCCCTAAGCTTTTCAGTAAGAGCAATGTTATCGGCTGCATGGCGTCTCTATTTACCCGACCAATAGGTCACGTACTGTAGGTCGGACTGCTAATCCAGTGTGGTTTATTCACCAGAGCTCCTCCTTCTAATCTCTGTTGTCTAGCTTCCGGAGGAGACATCACAAGCCTCACCATAAAATGATGTGTTCTTATAAAGGTTATAAATAATATTTTTCTGTTTTTGTTAATATGTTACTTTTAATGGGTGTTAAATACGCACATTAGTAGTTACTTTAACACATTTCTTACAACAAATAAAAGAAGCTGGGGGAGGTAAAAAGCGTCTGCTAAATGGCATATTATTATTATTATTATTATTATTATTTATTCTATGGAAATATAAAATCAAGATGAAGAGAAAGTTTGTTGCATCCATCCATCCATCCATTTATCACCAATAAAACTCAATTCAGGTGGAAAGAACCGGAGTGAAAGAAAGGGAATGTGATTTAATTTGACTAAAGAACTGTGAATTTGATGCAACAACTGGGACCAATTCTGCAGACAAACGCTCAATTTAACAAAGAACCACCAGAGCCTTCTCCTACATGATCTCAGTAATAACCTTGGAGCAGGTTTCTCCCTGAAGTACCTTTCCATTTTAACCTTGGTGTGGGTTTCTCCCTGAAGTACCTTTCCATATTGTACATGACAGCTGGTGAAGCTCTCCGTACCAGAACATTGCCAGAACAAGTGTGAAGTTCACATTGAGTAGATCAACGATAATAACTTGAAAGGGCGTACCCAGCAGGCAAAACTGGTTGCAATGGCGTCAGGTTGTATACTGGTTAGATAAGAATGTTTGATTGACGTCTTTTTAGCAACATGAAAAAGACGTCTTTACAACCACGAAAATGTGACATGTTTTCCACGATGTCTTCAAAGACGTCTTTACCTGATTGTAATAGAGACCAGTTGGTTGTAATCTGGTTATATGATGTCTCAACCAGAAAACCAGTTTACCACCAGAGGATTATGTAATTAAGATGTCATGTGCCAAATCTTGTGCCCACCGGGTAGACCTGTGTTTCCCAACTCCGGTCCTCCAGTATCCCCAACAGTACATATTTTTGTTGTGGCCCCCAGAAAAGCACACCTGATTCTACTTGTCAACTAATCATCAAGCCCTGGACAAGTCGAATCAGGTGTTTTTGTCCGGGGCTACAACAAAAATGTGTGCCCTTTGGGGTTACTGGAGGACCGGAGTTGGGAAACACTGGGGCAGGACCAGAGTTGGGAAACACTGGGGTAGTTTTCAGTGGAGCTAACAACTATCAACCAAGAGTGGACTCATTGTTGTTGATGCATGTTCATCTCTCCACAGAATGTCAGCCAGCCGGCGAAGAGGAAACTACCAGACTGGGCCGAACTACCAAGAGGCTCCAGTTCTTTGGCCTGTTCAAAGAAAACCAAAAAGAACAAAGGACTTTTTTCATAACTGACCAGTGACCAACACATTTTATTCTTACTGACCAAATATTTGTTTTTCTTCTTTTCTTTACAACAAAATGGCAAATAAGGTGTTGTTGCCCAACTTAACAATGTGACATAGCAGAATAATTAATGTAAAAATATATATATATATATATATTCTAAAACTTTTTGTAATAAAGGTACAACTGAATGTACAGTAGTTTAGAGGAAATCATTGGGAAGTGTGATTACTCCATGACTCCAAATCTCATTTCATAATGAGTTGTATCTTCTTATATTAGTACCCGTAGTGATAGATAATAAGTATCTAATGTAACTGTGCCAAGTTGACAAGAAGAAAATTATTAGTATTTCGTAAAACACACAACTCATTAACATGAGTGTCATTGGTTAGATAACTCTTAATCTGGGACCTCTTTTATCACACTGAGAGATCCTTCGGTTTGTCGCTGAGCTAAGGTATTTGTGTCATTCATTCAAATCACGTACAAACCTTCAATAATTACATTTAAGGTTAAGAGATTAGTAAATACAGGGTTTTTACATCCATGTGGACGTTTAATCCTGGTTCAGATTAGTGTGTCTGCAGACTACTTTCTATAGAGATTAACTGGGAAGATTTGTGGGATTATTTGTCACAGATCGTTTTTTATCCTGGTGGGAAGAGAACTGTAGCAGTTGTAAGACTATCAAATGCTGATTTCCTGTTCTGGGGGCAGAGGCTCTTTTTAAAGTTTGAGACCTGACCATTTAAAAACTCTCGAGGCTCAGAGGAGATCTGATCATTTACCATTTCCAGATTATAGTGGTTCTCTTTTGATTTACATTTTGACTGGATAAAAGATAATTACAGTTCATAGTGATTCTTGCAGTAAGCCACGACTGCATGTGTATCCCTGCACTGGCCAGTACCACTGCAGTCATTATGACCTCTAATTTGCTCAACTATGCAATGTCTAGCTATGCTAAACTAAACAAAGTCCTCTCAATCAAGCTGTAACAGAATTGATTATGTACTGTACACATGGTTTATTATTAATGTCAACCGTCCACCGTATTTGAGCATGTTTGTTTGTAGTAAATTATGCATTTGATGAGGGTAACAAAAATAAATTCCAGCCTCTTCTTGGAAACACAATATAGGAAAAAAAGGAATCCACTTCACTTGTGGCCACGGTGCTATCCCAGAACTCATGCTGACCAAAATAGACTTGACTGAATCTAAGATGCCATCCTGTACCCACACTATAGATTTCCATTGGCTGCTGTGGCTAAAGTGAACCCCCTTTTGAGGTCATTCTAGACAGCCTGCCCTCTTTGGATCAGAGTGCGGTGTCAGCAATTCCTTTACATTAGTCATACAGTGGCTGGTCTGAGGCCGAAGCGCTGATGCTGTCAAGTAACAGAAAAGTGCAGATCAGGCCTCTCCCCCGACACCCTACGCATTTGTAATAAACCTTATCAATAAAACCTTAAAAGGAAAAGCCAGTCAATATAGTGTTTTATAGAGACAGGGAAACTTTTTTTAAAGCTTGATCAAAGACCCGGGCTACATTTATAGTACAGAAAAACACAGCATTAAATTACTGATCGGATGTTCTTAGCGTCAGGGGTGCGCCGAGCACAAATGAAATGGGATTTAATGCCCTGTCTTTATAGTGCGCACTAAATGGCACCCTATTCTCTCTGTAGCTAAATGGACCCTGGTCAAAAGTAGTGCACTATAAAGGGAATAGGGTGCCATTTGGGACACACCCTCTGCCTCGTCTGCTGTTCTTATTGATGACTCCCTGTTGTGTTTCGAGTTGGGCTGGATGGCCTGACCAGTGCAGCCACACGCTCCTTGACATGGTATCTGCTGCTGGGTGTGCAGCAGGTGACCTGTGAAATTTATTTGCAGGGCCTTTGCTTGGAAATTGCCGGTGGCGCTCGGATACGTCACGTGTACTCTAATATAATCAATACATTTTCGCAGCATGAAGAGTTTCCCCTCTGCACTGAGATATTTGTGGAATTTTATTTGTCACATGCGCCGAATACAACAGGTGTAGACCTTAGAGTGAAATGCTTACTTACAAGCCCTTAACCATCAATGCAGTTTTAAGAAAAATAAGTGTTAAGTAAAAAATAGATAAGTGGGGGGTGGGGACAATGCAAATAGTCTGGGTAGCCATTTGATTAGCTGTTCAGGAGTCTTATGGCTTCGGGGCAGAAGCTGTTAAGAAGCCTTTTGGACCTAGACTTGGCGCTCCGGTACCGCTTGCCATGCAGTAGCACAGAGAACAGTCTATGACTAGGGTGACTGGAGTCTTTGACAATTTTTAGGGCCTTCCTCTGACACCGCCTGGTATAGAGGTACTGGATGGCAGGAAGCTTGGCCCCAGTGATGTACTGGGCCGTACGCACTACCCTCTGTAGTGCCTTGCGGTCGGAGGCCGAACAGTTGCCATACCAGTCAGGATGCTCTCGATGGTGCAGCTGTAGAACCTTTTGAGGATCTGAGGAATAGGCTTTGTCGTGCCCTCTTCACGACTGTCTTGGTGTTCTTGGACCATGTTAGTTTGTTGGTGATGTGGACACCAAGGAACTTGAAGCTCTCAACCTACTCCACTACAGCCCTGTCGATGAGAATGGGGGCGTGCTCGGTCCTCTTTTTCCTGTCGTCCACAATAATCTCCTTTGTGTTGATCACGTTGAGGGAGAGGTTGTTATCCTGGCACCACACAGCCAGGTCTCTGACCTCCCTTTAGGCTGTCTCATCGTTGTCGGTGATCAGGCCTATCCTAGTATTTTCCTAGTCAGTGTGTTCGATGGTATAATCCTTGTCTTGCTGTCTACAGCATGGGAGTAGAAATACCCTTTCATGATATTCATATTCAGGACATACTGATTGTTTCATAACAAAGTGTAGAGTTTAGGTCTTCGAGATTGAACTCATTGATGTTATTAATATGTTTCCAGTCTTTGAGATTGAACTCATTGATGTTCCGAGTGGCGCAGTGGTCTAAGGCACTGCATCGCAGTGCTAGCTGTGCCACTAGATATCCTGGTTCGAATCCAGGCTCTGTTGTAGCCAGCCGCGACCGGGAGACCCATGGGGCGGTGCACAATTGGCCCAGCGTCGTCCAGGGTAGGGGAGGGAATGGCCGGCAGGGATGTAGCTCAGTTGGTAGAGTATGGCGTTTGCAACGCCAGGGTTGTGGGTTTGATTCCCACGGGGGGCCAGTATGAAAAAAATAATGTATGCACTCACTAACTGTAAGTCGCTCTGGATAAGAGCGTCTGCTAAATGACTAAAATGTAAAATGTAATGTTGTTAATGTTTCCAGTCTTTGAGATTGAACTCATTGATGTTATTGTTTCCAGTCTTTGAGATTGAACTCATTGATGTTGTTCATGTTTCCAGTCTTTTAGATTTAACTCATTGATGTTATTGTTTCCAGTCATTGAGATTGAACTCATTGATGTTATTAATTTTGCCAGTCTTTGAGATGTATGTTATTGTTTCCAGTCTTTGAGATTGAACTCATTGATGTTATTGTTTCCAGTCATTGAGATTGAACTCATTGATGTTATTGTTTACATTGCGTCACATGACTTATGCCACCCATACTTTGCAAAAGAGATCTAACAAGTACTTTGGCTAATTTACCTGATGCCTTGGTACAAACATGTTTCCATTGTTAACATTTTCCTGGCAATGACATTTGTAAATTTCGCATGAATTACATTATGCATTATGCATAGTTTCACTAGATAATCAGAATTGCAATTGAGTGCATTTCATCTTAATTCTTTATCTGCATATCAGAATAGGTATATAAAGCATACACAGTCTATTTTGTAGAGATGTGTTGGACTGAATTCTATGGAATATATGAACCTAAGTGGTTAAATTTGTCTCTGTGGATAACTTGGCAACCGATTTAACAGCTATGCAATAAAGAGACAAGGCCTTTTTCTGTAGCGGACAACTGCCCCTCCACCAAATGTGTGTGTACCAAATATGTACACACACACACACACACACACACACACACACACGGGTGCAAGAACATCATATGCATTGTAGTTCATATTGTGGCATTTCACAACGTTTTCGGTAGTGAGGAAACCTGTTACCTGGCTGGAAGTATACAGTGCATTCGGAAAGTATTCAGACCCATTGACTTTTTCCACATTTTGTTATGTTAAGCCTTATTCTAAAATGGATTCAATCGTTTTTTTCCCCCTCATCAATCTACACACAATACCCCATAATGACAAAGCGAAATATCACATTTACAAGTATTCAGACCCTTTACACAGTACTTTGTTGAAGCACCTATGGCAGCGATTACAGCCTCGAGTCTTCTTGGGTATGATGCTCCTCTGCAGATCCTCTTAAGCTCTGTCAGGTTGGATGGGGAGTTTTGCTGCACAGCTATTTTCAGATCTCTCCAGAGGTGTTCGATCGGGTTCAAGTCCGGGCTCTGGCTGGGCCACTCAAGGACATCCAGAGCTTGTCCTGAAGCCACTCCTGCGTTGTCTTGGCTGTGTGCTTAAGGTCGTTGACCTGTTGGAAGGTGAACCTTCGCCCCATTCTGAGGTCCTGAGTGCTCTGGAGCAGGTTTTCATCAAGGATCTCTCTGTACTTTGCTGCGTTCATCTTTGCCTCGATCCTACAACACCATGCTTCACCGTAGGGATGGTGCCAGGTTTCCTATAGACATGACGCTTGGCATTCAGACCAAAGAGTTCAATCTTGGTTTCATCGGACCAGAGAATCTTGTTTCTCATGGTCTGAGAGTCTTTAGGTGCCTTTTGGCAAACTCCAAGCTGGCTGTCGTGCCTTTTACTGAGGAGTGGCTTCCGTATGGCCACTCTACCATAAAGGCCTGATTGGTGGAGTGCTGCAGAGATGGTTGTCCTTCTGGGAGGTTCTCCCATCTCCACAGAGGAACTCTAGAGCTCTGTCACAGTGACCATTGGGTTATTGGTCACCTCCCTGACCAAGGCCCT